GAGCGTGTGGTGAAATCCACGCGATGTTAGGCGCTGGCTGGCGGAAGGTGCTGAACCCGCTGGTCGCGTCGCAAAATTTCGAATACAAGATTTCCAATATCTTGGATAAACCGTTAGAAAGCGCTTTTGGCTACGTCAGTGTGTTGCCAGGCGCTTTCTCGGCGTATCGGTACCGGGCGATCATGGGACGACCGTTAGAGCAGTACTTCCACGGTGATCACACGCTGTCCAAGCGACTGGGCAAGAAGGGTATCGAGGGCATGAATATCTTCAAGAAGAACATGTTCTTGGCAGAGGACCGTATCCTGTGTTTCGAACTGGTCGCCAAGGCAGGATTCCGGTGGCATTTGACGTATGTCAAAGCGTCCAAGGGTGAGACCGACGTGCCGGAGGGAGCGCCCGAGTTCATCAGTCAACGGCGTCGTTGGTTGAACGGGTCTTTTGCGGCCGGTCTGTACTCCATGATGCATTTCGGGCGGATCTACCGCAGCGGCCACGGCATCATTCGCCTGTTTTTCCTGCACGTCCAGATGCTGTACAACTTCGCCCAGTTGATCATGACCTGGTTTGCTCTCTGTAAGTAGTTCGAGGCGTTTGAATGGACCGAAGCTAACGATTGCAGCGTCTTTCTGGTTGACTAGCTCCGTCATCTTGGACCTGGTGGGCACGCCTAGTGATGCCAACAAGCACAAGGGATGGCCGTTTGGTAACTCCGCCACGCCGATCGTCAACACGTTTCTCAAGTACGGGTACTTGTTCTGTCTGATGCTGCAGTTTATCCTGGCCCTGGGTAATCGGCCCAAAGGGTGAGTGTCCCTTCCTTCGGACTGGTGGGATGTAGGGCTGACCGGAACAGCACACGGATTCCATACACGCTCTCCTTCATATACTTCTCCCTCGTGCAGTTCTACGTGCTGATCGACTCATTCTACCTGGTGGCGAACGCGTTCACCGGTGGGATGTTGGACTTCAACTTGAACGACGGTGTCTTGGCATTCTTGCAGTCATTCTTCAGCTCCAGCGGAGGTGGTATCGTGTTGATTGCGCTCGTGTCGACATACGGCATCTACGTACTCGCCAGTGTGCTGTACGCGGACCCGTGGCATATCATCACCAGCGCGTGGGCGTACTTCCTGGGCATGACAACGTCGATCAACATCCTGATGGTGTACGCATTCTGCAACTGGCACGACGTGTCGTGGGGGACCAAGGGATCGGACAAGGCCGAGGCGCTGCCATCCGCGCAGACCAAAAAGGACGACGACAACAAGCACAATTTCATCGAAGAGGTGGACAAGCCGCAGGCCGACATTGACAGCCAATTCGAGTCGACGGTCAAGCGGGCGCTGGCGCCGTTTTCCGAGCCTGAGGAAGAGGGCGGCACTAGTCTGGACGACTCGTACCGGAACTTCCGCACGGTGCTGGTGTTGCTGTGGGTGTTTAGCAATCTGATTCTGTCGTTGCTGATTACCGCGACCGGCATTGACCGGTTGTGTTTGACGGTATGTCTCTTATCCTTTTTTTTTTCGTCCACGGTCGGTACTAACTCAAGTTGGTAGAACACATCGACCGACCGCACAAGTTGGTACTTCCAGATCATCCTGTGGTCGACAGCCGGTCTGTGTATCTTCCGATTCATCGGCTCGCTGTGGTTCCTGGCGCGGTCGGGGATTTTCTCGTGCGTCAACCGACGGTAGAGGAGCAGACTGTACATATGACGAAGGGAAGAAGAAGAAGGAGCAGGAGACCGGCATGTATCATAGGATACCGGATTGGATTACACATGCACATTCGAGCTTTTACGAGAAAATCTCGAGGGAAGCCTGCATTTATAGATGTTTTATCGGCCTGGCAAGGGAAACTCCAACTCGTTCAGTGCATGAAGTTATGAATTGGCATGTTATTTAATAGCCGGGTAGTGAATTGAATTAGTCTAGAATAAAAACATAAAAACCACAGCCATACCTCATCAGTCATCTGATACCAATTATCAGATTATACACACCATTGAGGAGTATACATGCAGACAAGTCCCGACTCAGAATACAATAATCAGCATCATCCAGCCAATCTAGAAAGTACAATACCTACTCGCTCCATAAGAAACTAGAAAGAATACCCATACAGCAGCACCTCGGCCCTTACCCCGCTTCCCTCTCCCTTCCTTACTTCCAACCACAGGCACAATGCAGGTGCCGTGGAGACCAGGAACATAAATGCCCCTACTTATTCAAGTTCATCACCGGCGTATCCCTCGTGGCTTGCAGTCTGCACCTCATTGGACAGGACAGCGCTAGTTCTGCAGGATGGTGTCTAGCTGCGCCGGAGGAGTTGAATAGGGCTAGCTTGTATTATAGTACCATCATGGTTTTCGACTGATTCTGTCAGTCGACCTGACCATATCACAGCAGCTCCTTAACCATCACAAGATAATTACACAACAGCTATAGTCAATATCATGAGACAATATCATCTCACTCGAATAATAGATGATCTCGTCACAGACTACCCAGCAAACTAACCGAACCAGCTCCACCCAACCCACGAACCGATCCCTCCCCCAATCATAACCCCTCTCGAACGCCCGTGGAGAAAAGCCACTCGTACTGACTGGACCGTAATGTCCGAGATCAACGCCGTTTTTAACCTGTGCGGGGATGGATCGGCGGGGTTAGGTTCTGGTTGAGGATGAGGTTGGTGGTATTGAGTATTTATATCTCCTTTCTTGCCGGAGTCGCTCCCGTCGTTCGTGTACAGTATACCCTGTGTAGTCTGTGTACAACATGCGCCTCTCCCTCACACTCCCGGCTCTGGCCCTCCCCCTGGCAACAGCTCTGAATATCGTCTCCTCTAATGACGATGGCTGGGCTGTATCCAACGTTCGTGCGCTGCACGACGCACTGACGGAGGCAGGGCACAAGGTGGTTCTGTCTGCGCCGGCTGAGAATCAGAGCGGAACGGGTATATCTCCCTCTCCCTCCCTCTTCCACTCATCTCCATAACCATGAAGACAATAGACTAATAAATAAATAACAGGCTCCCTAGATATCGCCCCCAAAGACCGCTCCAAACCCTGCCAATTCAACAGCTGTCCAGCCAACGGCCCCCCAACAGGCCACGACCCAGCCAACCCGCTCCTCAACTACGTCAACTCCTACCCCGTGACCTCCATGAAGCACGGTCTTCAAACCCTCGCACCGCAGTTCTTCGGCGAGCAGGGGACAGACCTCGCCGTCGCAGGCCCCAACGTAGGCTCCAATATCGGCCTATCGGTCTTCATCAGCGGGACCGTCGGCGCAGCGTCCTACGCCGTGAAAGAAGCTCACGTCCCCGCCATCGCCTTCTCAGGCAAGACGGGCGATCCGACGGCTTGGAACGATACCCGGCCTGCCTACAGCGACGTGTACGCCAAGCTGGCGAGTAAGGTTACGACTGCGGTGGTGGGTGCGGGGAAACCGTATTTGCCGGAGGGAGCGTTCCTGAATGTCAATTTCCCGGCTGTGGGCGACGACGGGAGTTGTGGGAAGGTGGAGGATGTCACGTTTGTGTTGTCGAGGATCCTGGGCACGGTTGGAGAGGATGTCGAGACTTGTGGGAGCAAGAAGCGGCTGCCGACGGAGGGGTCGGTCATCCGGACGGAGGGATGCTACGCCAGCGTGTCGGTGGGCATGGCGGAGAATAAATTAGACGCGAATGCGACGGTGCAGGGGGTTGTGCTGGGGAGGTTGCAGGGGTTGTTGGGGTGTTTGCCTTGATATATAGCACATTGGATGTCGTGTCGTATGTCGTATATAGGGGTCCAGGGGATATTATCGTTATGTTACGGAAATAGTACTATTCTAATAATCCAACATTAATCCAGAAGTCATTGTTATGCCAATTGTACATACCAAGTAATCTAGACCTACTATTTCAGGAACTATTCAAAACCGATATCCTATCACCATCTGCTGCAGCCGAGGATACGACGATCACCCCCACCCACGGCTCAACCCGCCATATAAATAAACCAGCTGCCCCAACCACCAACTATCACCATTCCCTCCCTCCTATTCTTGCCCTACTATTACACCACTACCTACACAATGATAGTAATCCCCCTTCTAGCGGCCCTGGGCCTCGCTCAAGCCGCCAGCATCGACCACGACAAAGTGCGCCCTCTCCCGCAAACCATCCCCGAGGGCGCCCAAGGCGAGCTCTACCTAGCGTATCAACCGCGGTTGAACGTCGTCAATGGCTGCGTGCCGTATCCTGCCGTCGACGCGGAGGGGAATACAGGGTTTGTCTCAGCATACTATACCATAATAAAATATATGCTAAAAAACCAACAGAGCAGGCCTAAAGCCCACCGGCCCCACGAATTCAAGCTGCACAACCAGCGAAGGCCAAATCTACGTGCGCTCGCGCACAGACGAAGACAGCACCCGCACAGCCCTCATGTACTCATGGTACTTCCCCAAAGACGCAGCCTCCCCGGGCTCCGGCCACCGACACGACTGGGAGGGCACGATCGTGTGGGTGAGCTCGCCGACCTCCACATCGCCGGAGAACATCGAGGCGGTTTGTCCCTCTGCGCACGGCAAGTGGAACTGCGCGACGAAGGATGACTTCTCGCTAGACGGGTCGAATCCGCTGATCGAGTATGTGAGCCGTTGGCCGCTGAACCACCAGATGGATCTCACGGAGGAGGTGGGCATGTTGCAGCCGTTGGTGGCGTGGGAGAGTCTGGAGGAGGGTATTAGGAAGCCGTTGGCGGAGACGGATTTTGGGAGTGCGCATTTGCCGCTGAGGGATGGGAATTTCGCGGAGGATTTGGATTCCGCGACTTATTGAGTCTGTTTTTTTGTTTTTGTGTGTATGGTATATGTATAGGGTGTATTTATTATGGGTGGCTTGGGTTGATGTATAACTGATGCGATTAAACTACCCCATAGGGACGCTAAGAAGAACGAAGTACACTGGCCAAGCACAATTATTGTCGACATGATAGGACAAGACAGTCAAAACAAGACCTTCCTAGCCGCGTAAATCCCCCGTAAATCCCATCGCTGAGGCGCCGTCCTCTCCATCCACTCGGAGCAATCCCCCTTAAACGCGGGTCTCATAATCTGCGCATACTCCCAGTAGTCAGGATACCAGCCCGCCCACTCCCAGTCCAACAGCCCAGTAACGCGGTTCTCCTCATCTACCATCACATTGCGGGGCGCAATATCCGCATGCGTGAAGACAGAGCGCTCAGACAGCGGCAGCATATCTGGCAGCTGGTCCTTGTAACGAAGCCCTCCAAAGTGCAGGTACCGCTTGTAGATACGGACGCGCACGTCGGTGTCGCTGAGCAGCGGGCGAGGAGATTGCTGGAGGTCTTCGAGCATGGGATTGCATGAGGGAGAGCCGTCTGTGAGACATTGGTAGAGGTCGCTGAACTTTTGTGGACGGGGGATCGTGCGGATCTTTTGGCGATTAGATCCCATAGTTGGTTGTAGACGGATAATTTGGCGATGTCGTCTAGCGTGTCCCATTTATCAGTCAAGAGTATCGCCGGGACGATGGTCATCCCGATTAGACCATCTGGGGGTGGAGTCGCGTTTATCGCATTGTTGTGTATCGGCGATCTCATTGACAAGATGGAAGCTCGCGAAGAGCACTTCTGGAACAGGGACGCCGGTATTGTTGAAGACGAGTCGCATTGCTTCAGCTTCAGTGGGGAGCACGCCGGATAATTCTTTTGTCTCCCAGGAAATGTCCAATTGCAGAACCAGCCTATTTATCTGTTTGTATAGGACTTTGGTGACTTCTTGACCAGGTGGGAGGGAGAGGGGATCTATTGTTGACTGGCATGGGATTATGGTTGTGCCATCCCTGATGTAGTTTTGCCCCGTGTGGAGATTCTGTATGGTATATGGGAGGGGTGATGGTGGTTCAACCATATGACTGTTGTTTTTGTAGAGTGCCATTCACTGTCTGCATATCACTGACGATATAAAGTTCAAGTTGGTCTATTTTGAAGTGAATGTAGTGGCCAGGCAGCTGCCACGGCAGGCGTGACTCTTTGTCTCATGCAGTCATTCCCGCATCATCACACACCATATAAACCTACACCTCCACCTCCCAACAAGACTTTATTGCTGTATAACCTCGTAAATATGGGTGCTTCTCGGGTTTCTGGATTTCAGGTCCTGGAGAAGGCTCCCGTGAGCTTGAGTTTCGATATTGTTAACTCGAGACAGGCTGCTGCGTAGAGATGGGTCTAATAGCTCGAAGAAGGGCTTGACGAGGTACCTGAAGTATTCTAGGACCTGGCTGACCCCTGGCCGCGTATTTTCGAAGCTCAGCGCAGTGTGACAGGGGCATGAATGTAGCAAATCCGGACGTCACGATCTCTTGAGAAAGCGAAATATGTTGGACTCTAGCCACTGGTGACAAGGTTGTATACGAGAACATGCTTCACCTCTCGTATATTGTCTGTATATCGCAACTTAGGCCGATGCAGACCGCAAAATCGCATACTCAACGACTATACCAAATGTCAGCATAAACCTGGATTCGGTCATGACAAGTAACCCACCGAAACGGTGACACAAAGATGTCAAAGGACCGGCGAAAAGCCGAAATTCAAGGGTTCACCCGTCTACCGACTAGCACCCCCGCGCATGACGCCCTGAAAGTCCAGAACCAGGTGACCCTAACCTGAAGACTCGTGGGTGTATCCCTCGGTACTTTCCTCCCTTCCTCATACCGGTATAAGAGAGAGGAACTTGGCTAACAACCGTATGGTATCACAACAATCTCGTCTTCCAAGACATATGCCGGATCATTGAAGAGACGGTCGATGTTTGGTCGCCCAAACAAATGGAATCTGGTGCGAGCTGGGCCGACCATCTGTGCACGCATCCCTAGGGTGTCGTTAGGCTTGAAGAGCAGTTGTAATTTTGCTAGAATCCCTTTCTCATGTAGGCTTAACACTGTAGTGTGAGATCCCAGCCAGAATCTGTGTCATCCTATACGGTCATGCAAGACGCACCACGGAGTGTCGCGAACTATACGCGCGCAGAGATACGGATGCATTTTATGCTGTTGCGAGTCGACAGCAGCCAGTTGATATACCATAAGCTGCTCTACATTGCATTGGTTGCGAGGAGAGCCGGCTGTTGGGTCGCAGGCGAGTAACTCCACGGAGGGATTGGCGGCGTCACAGTCCATCTGTGAGGGCAGCATATCATCATCCACTGGTTGGGGGGGGGGGGGGGGGGGGGAGATCCGTCTCTAGCCCATCAACCGCACGCCCCTTCAACGCGTCAGACACCAGTACCTCGCGGGGTGTTTTATTCAAAACGCTCATTTCTGTTGATGGATCTTGCTGTCGGAACTGTCCTCTCTCTCCCTGTGGTTGCTTGGCAAGAGCCACAGCCCTCTTTCTGACGCTCCCCTCCCGAGAATACCAATCGGGATTTTCAAAGTGATCCAGGGCGGCCGTTAGCTTCGGGATAACTTTCTATAGCAGCACTCGATTGAACTCCAGATCCTCGGAATCAATTTTGCGGAATGCTATGTTGTAGTGCTTCGCCCGCAATCTCCCGCCTTTTCTGCAATGCCTTCATATACCCCTCCTTTTGGGGGGGCTAACGCTCTATGATTGCATTAGTGTCAAACCGGTCTGGAAAGCTTCCCGGTCTTAATTGCCTTCTTTGAGCATGTGCGTGTCATGACGGACACCTCCAATGACATTAGGTTCGTATCGAATTTTTTTCTTTGCTCTCGAATGCCTCACTTAATAGTGGATAACAAGTGTCCTTGGGAGGACCGTTTTCGGATGTGGTTGTAAACGCGTTCATATAAAGCACCATTATCTAGAAAACATACTATTAACCCACCGTCCATGACATAGAAAGGAGAAAGCTTACGAAAACAACAACAAAACACAATCACCGGCCAGCCCACCCGCCACAAACTGACTTGTCGACTCATCTACAACGTCTGTCAGCTGACTATCTTCCCACAGAAGATATGACACTATCTGCAATCACTCTTAGTCGCCCTCATAGACGACATGCCCGACCTCTCCAGGAACAGCACGCTCCCAAGCTCCCTGTAAAACGTACGCGACGAGGCCCAAAACCGCACGCGCGGCCGCCACGACCCACGGAGGGGGGACCGCGCGAGCCGGGCCGGCCTCCTCTCGGGTCTAGACAGCGAGCATGTTGTTGACTTCTGCCTCCAAAAAGACTGGAGATCATGGATCGAAACACGAGACAAGGCACGGCCGTTTCGAGACAAGTGGCGTGCGATGATGCCAACGAAGATGTCGGCATGGCGACGAGGGTCGGGTTTGACATAGAGGATATCCGAACAAAGAGTTGTTTTGCCAAGAGTAAAGATACCTTCGAGGTTCCATCAACTCCACCCATATTGCGGACTGAGAGTCTCATCGGTGTCGATTAGGTGCTCAGTATGCATAGAGCGTAGGATAGGACGGTGATTCCACTCCCACACCCGGAATTTCTCTCTGCTCTGTGGCTTCTTTGAAAGACTCATGGTCATATAAAGGGACCTATAGGCTCAACGATATTTATAAAGAAGGCGATATTCATGGATATTCATGGGCTTTTATCCAGGCCCATAACCTCCTAGCCACTCTACCGGAGTCTCGAACGGTCTTTTGGTCGGACTGGATATGGCTGGTATCACCTATAAGTGTGCCAATAAACAGAGACTATTAAGAAAGCAGAGAAAACTTGGGGGGGGGGAAGTCCCAGTATAAGTATGTTAGGGAGGTCAAGGGGGCGATCAAGAGGAGGTTTTGACAGTCTTTATGTCAGCATTGTTTGGGATGATCACTGATAGAAAAGCTTTACTGCTTCATTCACAGTTGTATAGGGGACTAGATGGCCTATCATCAACAGTCTCTGCGTATACCAAAGAATAGACAGTGAATGGGCGGACTTTCTATCCTTTCTGGACTGTCTCTGAAGTCCAGTTCCATTCCCTCAAGAATCCCCACCCCTGCGCGAGGGGTACAAAAGGACAGTCAGAGATGATCAAACAGTGTTGATCACAAGGCTAATTATTAGGCCAAAGAGATACAATAGCCACATGGACCTTTGTTGCACTTCCTACATGTGGGAAAACTTTCTGGAATGATGATGCAGGATCCCACCAGTAAGCCCTTGGATGCAGACAATTAACCACTTTGGGTTAGAATCAGGCGTTCACATATTTGTGCCCGATCGCCTGCAGACAGCCGAATAGCTCAAGATAGTGGCTGGTTGTCAGCAGGCCTGGGAAAAGAGATTTGGTTTGTCAAGCCTGATATCGACTAGTCTTCGTGCTCTAGTGAAATGTGGCATTCAATATAACACTGTCATACGTGGCTGCAAGTGTCCTATAATAATACCCAAGCAGCATACCGTCTACCACTACTCATACATGACGAACGAGGGAAGTGGTAGTCTGACGATCGGTATCAATGACAATCCTTATATGTTAACACCGTTAACAATGGGACATGGCCGTCCTTTGGGGGCCATCGGAGTAGCATTGGCATCAGGCTGGCTAATGTCGAAGGCTATCCTGCCAGCCCACCGACCCATCGCACACCAACTTAACCCACTCAGGAGATGATCTCCTACCCATGCACAAGGTCTGCGTGATTTTCTTGGCTGCATAACCCTCATTGGTTGTCATGTCTGGGCGCCAAGTCGCTGAGAACAGGACCGTGGGTGAGGATCAGACCCCAGATTTCTTCTCTGCAAAGATTAACAATCCTTTACTTTGTGGGGAAGAGGGTCTGAGGCGGGAAGGAATGCTCTTTCTCGCTTGCCCAATCGATGTCATGATTAAAAGCGGGTGGAAAAACGCCATTCCACCGTATAACAGCCTCTATAAGCCTTAAACATGATCAACATCAGACGAGAAATTGCTAGACTGGGATGCCGCGCTTGGCGTGCGTATAGCCTTGCCCGATCTGACATCAACGGCGCTGTTTCTGGCCGCTCATGCGGTTTTTTCTCAGCCGGCTAAGCCCGCCACCTAGTGTTTGTATGGACCCCAATGCTCTTGGCCGGGGAAATGGGGCCTGTTCGGTGGAGATGGCTGAGAATTTGCCTCTGCGGAGTTCCAATCAACCCCATGGGGAGAGGGGGGAGAGTAGGAGCTGTCAGACCATCTCGGTCTCCTGGTAGACGTTAAATGCATGACCCCCCTCCCTGGTGGATTATTTGTTCCCCTCAAGACCCAGCACTCGGTCTCCCTGCGTCCTCTTATTTGTCTATCGCGCTGTGTGCTAGCCATCCCCGACAATTTGACCTACATTATCCCCACCACACCTACACTAACTGTCTGGGCTGCAGATCAACCCATCCGGGGATCTGATCAGGTTCACCAAAATGGGCGAGAAACCGACCGATCCCGAGGCGCCTGTCCTGGCACAACAGGATGCCCAGGAGACGGTATCAATAGAAAAGGAGATTGGGGCTGAAGTTGCGCGCGAATGGTCTCGCGATCCAGCCAAGAGCTTCGCCGCGCAAACCAGGCCGAAGAACCCCTTAGCCGAGCTGACCCGGGAGGAACTGTTTTGTGATGTTGAGCAATTTGCGCAAGAAAAAGGCCTTCGCGATATCCTCTCCTTGTTGAAGAAGGGTTCCTTAATTGCGCAGGATCCCAAGCGATTTGAGGAGCTGCCTGAGCTGGAGGAGGAGGAGAAAGATGTGCTGCGCCGCGAGAAGACGCACCGGTGGAGGCAGCCGTATATGATGTACTTTATGACCAGTATGTGCTCTCTAAAACCGCCTTCGCAATATGAATTACCCGCTAACTGGCCACCCAGTTCTCTGTGCTGGATCGGTTTGTCTCCATTGATTTGATAGTGCGGTGAAAGTGTTGCTGACGTTTGTAGGCTATCGTGCAAGGCATGGATCAGACAGCCGTGAACGGTGCCCAAGAGTGAGTATTCCACGCTAGATGAATGCATTTCATTCTAATCAATCGACCAGGTACTACTTCGATGAGTTTAATTTAAAAGACCCCTGGCTCCGAGGCCTGGTGAACGGAGCGCCCTACCTATGCTCCTGTCTCATCGGGTGCTGGACAACCGCCCCGCTTAATCGCTGGTTCGGTCGTCGCGGATGTATTTTCATCTCGTGTTTTGTCTCATTTGCGTCCTCGTTCTGGATGGCGTGTGCGCACACCTGGTGGAATCTAATGCTCGGTCGTTTCCTGCTTGGGTTTGCCGTGGGTGCCAAATCCACGACGACCCCAGTGTACGGTGCTGAGTGCGCGCCTGCCAACATCCGAGGTATACTTCCCTCAACATATGGGTTTTCTTCTACGGCATACTGAACTTCTTTAGGTGCTCTGGTCATGATGTGGCAGATGTGGACAGCTTTCGGGATCATGCTGGGGTTCATTGCCAGTGTCGTCTTCATGGACGTTAAGAACGCTAACATCCCGGGTCTGAACTGGCGTCTTATGCTTGGGTCTACCGCCATTCCGTGAGTCCACCGCACACTACGCAGTGCACTTCCTTGCTGATCAAGATAGGCCGATGTTTGTCTGTGCCCAGGTGTACTTCTGTCCCGAGTCTCCCAGATGGTACATGATCCGTGATCGCTATCGCGAAGCCTACCAGGCGCTTTGCAGTCTGCGTCCAACCACGCTCCAGGCTGCCCGCGACCTTTACTATATCCACGTTGCACTGAAGCATGAGGAGAAAATGCGCGAAGGCAAGCAGCTCTGGCTGGAGATGTTTACAGTGCCGCGCAATCGGCGGGCAGCGCAGTCGTCTTTCTTTGTCATGTTCATGCAGCAAGTACGTCTTCCCGCTCCCCTCCAACCAGTTGCTTTGAAGATTTATACTGACATTGTCTCTAGTTTTGCGGCGTCAATGTAGCTCTCCCCCTGCTATGGAAAATGCGCCAAAGCTAACATACCAGGCTATCATGTACTACTCGTCGTCCATGTTCCGCGACGCAGGCTTTAATCTTCGCATGGCCCTTATCACCTCGCTCGGCTGCGGCATCACCAACTGGCTGTTCGCCCTCCCAGCCGTCTACACGATCGACACCTTCGGACGACGCAACCTCCTCCTCACGACCTTCCCGCTGATGAGTCTCTGCCTACTCTTCACGGGCTTCTCATTCTGGATCCCCGAAGGCAGTGATGCCCGTCTCGCCTGTGTCGCCACCGGTATCTACCTTTTCATGATCGTTTACTCCCCGGGAGAGGGTCCCGTTCCGTTCACATACTCAGCAGAAGCCTTCGTACGTCTCCCCCGTAACCTAATACGTCTGCACGTCGCTAATGCAAGATCAACAGCCCCTCTACATTCGCGACATAGGCATGTCCTTCGCCACCGCCACTACCTGGGGTTTCAACTTCATCATCTCCCTGACATGGCCGGCGCTCGTCGAGGCGTTCACCCCGCAGGGGGCGTTTGGCTGGTACGCGGCGTGGAACTTCGCCGGCTGGATCTTTGCCTATTTCTGTCTGCCTGAGACGAAGGCGCTGTCCCTGGAGGAGCTGGATCAAGTGTTTTCTGTGCCGACCCGGAAGCATATGAACCATTACGCGGGGATGCTGCCGTGGTATTTCAAGAAGTATATTCTGCGCGGCGATGTGCCGCCCCAGAAGCAGTTGTACGATTATGAGTAGACGGGTGTAGCTTCGGGGTAAGATGGGGTTGGGTTCCGGAATTTCGGGGGGTAGGTGGATGATATGTTAATGTAGGGTGATGTATACTCGCTCATTATGTGATATGGATGATGTTGGTTGTTGACTAGCAATGGATGATTGAGCACTCTAGGATATCTGAAGTTAAGGCTTCTACTCTTCTACCCTAGCATCTCAGACTGATATATCTTGCATCACGAGAATCTGCACATCGTAATTTTGCAACAGAGCTCCTTTCTTTGACTCGCTTGAGATTGACACCATTGTACAGAGGGATACTAATGGCAATTGACATACTATGGGTTAGATCCAAACCATATTATATATTTCCACCACAGTGTCGATTTTCCGACACCACCTCATCACATCCAGTCTAAACCCTAACTCTTGCCTATCGAATCTAACAAATTTTTAATGAACTTCCATGTATCAAACCACCTTAGTATAGGACAACAAGTCGCTAGACTCTCCCACGGGGGTAGGCACGCAGACCCTGCACAGGTGGGTCCACCTCCCAGCGCCCCATACATTATTGGGCGCCACAACCGGGTCAAATCCACCGCTGAGACTCCCATTCGCCCACAAAGCACGATACTTCCATTTACATTATCAGACAGGACCCTCTTTACCCTCTTTTCTTCCCATTCCAGTTTCTGGGGTTCACGTTGCCATTAGGTAACAAGTGGGCCACCGCCAGCTGGAAGCTGGGAGCTCGAACTGAGATTTCTCTCCCGCGTTGATATAATGCTTTCAGATGACTCACTCACTCGCAGCCTGAGGTTGGTTGGAATGGATCGAAGTTTTTGACGTTGCTTGCGCCTATTGTTGGATATTTGTAGATTTGCCTAGTACCACTACTAGTGAACTGATCATCCAACCATGGCTGATGCAGCGGCCCCCGACCCCTATAAGCACACCTCCGACGGAGATGTCGAGAAGCACGAAGAGGCTCTCCCCGCGTTTCTAGATGCGTTTGGAGATGAGGAAGATGCGGAAGTGAAGTACAAGGTGCTGAGTTGGTGGTATGTACCTACCCCTTCTCTCCCTCTTGCGAGAATTATGCTAAACAACACGACGACAGGCAATGCGGCTTCCGTGAGATTCTACCAAGCATCTATCCCGCGATGATCTAACCATTGCAGTCATGGTCGCCGAAACCGTCTCCCTGGGGATTCTGTCGCTCCCTGCCGTTGTTTCCCAGCTCGGCCTCGCACCGTATTATTGCCACGCCCCTGACATTGACATGCGCGTAGATAATGTAGGCTAACTAATCTCAGATCAATCGTGCTAATGCTCGCCATCGGTCTAATCGCCACTTACACCGGCTACGTGATCGGCCAGTTCCGCTGGGCCTACCCGCATGTCCAGAACATGGCTGACGCCGGCGAGGTCATCTTCGGGAGCATCGGACGCGAGGTCTTCGGCATGGGCCAGCTGCTGCTGATCATCTTTATCATGGCGAGTCACCTGTTGACCTTTTCGGTTGCTATGAACTCTATCACGGACCATGGGACATGCACGATCGTGTTCGGGGTGGTCGGCTTGGTGATTTCGTATATCCTGTCGCTGCCGCGTACGTCGACAAATGTCTCGTACTTGTCCATTGCTTGTGAGTTTTTCTTTCTTCCTATACGTCCCACCTGTGGGGGTAGCTAACAGGCTGGTAATTGCAGCATTCTTGAGTATCTTCACCGCCGTCTTGATCGCCATGATTGGCGTCGGCGTCGACAAACCTTGGACCGGGCCGCTGAACGCTACTGTCGAGACGAGTCTGTACAAGGCGTTCTTGGCCGTGTGCAACATTGTCTTTTCTTTCTGTATGTCTCAAGAACGGCCTTCCTTTATAAAAGAGGAAAGGAGACACTCATGGCCTATCACTAATCAACCAATAGGCGGACACGTCGCATTCTTCGGATTCATGTCCGAACTCAAAGACCCCCGAGACTATCCCAAGGCTCTCTTCCTGCTACAGGGCACCGACATCTGTCTGTACATCGTTACGGCCGTCGTTATCTACTGCTACGCGGGTGACGACGTCGCATCGCCCGCGCTGGGGTCTGCTACCCCTATTGTGCGCAAGGTTGCGTATGGTATTGCTTTGCCGACTGTGCGTTTCCCCCTCGCTCCCTCTCTTTCTTGTTATATCGTCCTTGAACTATGTGAACTGAACTAATAAACGAGTAGATCATCATCGGCGGAGTCGTCAACGGCCACGTCGCCGCCAAATACGTCTACGTCCGACTATTCCGTAACAGCGACCGCATGCACAAGACGGATCTCTTGGCCATGGGGACCTGGGTGGGTATCGCCTTTGTGCTGTGGGTTGTGGCATGGGTTGTGGCCATGGCAATTCCTGTGTTCAATGAGTTGCTCAGTTTAATTGTATTCATTCCTTCCTTCTTTCCAGAACATCGATGGCAACGGACAATGCTAACCCCACTCAAGGCCTCTCTTTTCGCAAGCTGGTTTACCTGTATGTCTCTATCTTCCCCCTTCTCACTTCTCTCCCCATAGCAATAACTAACCAACGAACCAAGTCGGCTTCACCGGTCTCTTCTGGCTATATATCAACAGGGATCAGCTATTCGCGACCCCCGCCAAGATCGCCATGACTGTTATCAACACCATAATTATTGGAATCGGGCTCTGCGTGGTATGTTCGCCCCTACACGGAAGAGTAAATCGTCTACTGATGCCAGAATCTGTAATAGTGCGGTCTGGGGTTGTATGTCTCTGGTAGAGCATTGCATGAAAACCCCAGCAGTGCGGCGTTTAGCTGTGCGAATAACGCGTGATGTGGAGTATTGTTTTGTGGGACTGCTTTTGGGATTGTGTTGTTTGGATTGAGTCGTGCTGTGTGTTGGAAGCTTGTACATTGATGTTGATGACCTCACCGTGCTGGATAATGTGTGGGTCAAGGAATGGTTATAGATCGAGATATCTATGTTAGTATGTTTTATCAGATTTATACTTTGGTTCTGTTCAATTCCCGTTTACCACTTGACTGTATATGAATTTGAATCTTGGGAAGGATGTTGATATGCTCATGTGATCAACTCCAGCCCTAATCATATGGAGCCTACAACACTCCTTGTCCAACCAAAAAGCTCCTCATCATACCAGTCAGTGTCAGGATTTCAACACTCTATATAGAATGATATCTCCTCGGAAAATAACCATCTGCAATGCAATCGCCGGCTGAATTTCTCAGGCCTGCCAAGCATGCCCAGTATGCCCAGGACTTGGCAGCATGTCGGGCGATAGCAACGGAGGAATGCGGTAATTGCGAGGAATGTCAAGACCGGTACAGTAATGTGGTAGGCGCTGGCATCACTAATGGTTCAAATAATGGCTACTTGATCTGCTAGCCAATGTTCATTGAGGTATGTGTGCATAAGGAGGTAGATTTTCGGTACGTGAAGGTTTGGCAGAATAGCAACATCCTAAATTGGAGATCTGTAGTCTTTTCAAAGGCAAGCCGTATGAGGGATCATTGAATAGCAGCTGATGAATGATTGTAGGGTTGTTACTGTTATTGTTGTTGTTGAAAAGCGAGACGTGCAATCGGGCAACATGTCACCTGACTCGCACAGCTTTCTCACGAAGATCATGAGTTTGACTCTTCGTGTCTTTGCAAATGTTTTACAACCTCCTCACAGTATCAATAATTATCGAAAACATCAATATTTCGACCATTCTCATCGATCCTCCAGCAGCGAATAGCAAGAGCACGTCACGCCACGTGCAATTATCCCAGCATGCACATTTACAATAGGAAAGCTAGACGATGATCATCGTCGAGACGCCCGCCATATGCCTCATTGAGTACGGAGTGCAAGTAGTGTCAATCTCACGCATCTACTGCCTAGCGACCTCCTTCTACACGATGTTCGGCAGGTTTTGCGACGAAACGAGCCAGGAGTCTTGGGAATCAACAACCGTGAGGCTACTGATAAGAGCAGACCTGGAGCAGCTTGGCGATGCATTTTTTACACGGCTAATATTACGCAAACGGGGCAAGCCTTGGTATTAGCCTCATGGTCAACATTGAAAACAACGCTGGATGTATCCGTTGCTCGGACTGAACTGGCTTGGCGCAATCGTGGCGAAGCAGCTTGGGGCTCCATTTTTTTTTCCGCTGCCAAGTTGTACCAGGCACGCGGAGGTTCCAGGATAGCTATAGCTCTAAATGGAACATCCATGGGCGTCTCATTCGCTGCATTTATGCCGCAAGCCAAGTCCATTCGCGGTCTTGTCCTCCGCTCGGCGGCGAGCGGGGTTTTGCTCACAGGCCCGTCCACTCCTGCCAAGCACGGCGGACCTTCTTTTTTTTTTTTCTCTCAAAACCTTGGGGCAATCGGATACCACAAGTTGTATGTGTCTCAGTACGCTGTGCACGAGGCTATTGTATGAAAACAGGGAGTCGGAGGAAACATGGTGGAATGTTCGCCTGCAGCTGCGGAACAGCCAACGTGCTCTATATACAATGGCCAGCCGTCATCCCTAGACCTTTCCCCCTTCCACCAGAGCCAACTGTGAAAGGATAGAAGGAGCTCTGTCCAAGGCGTCGAAAAGTCTTCCCATTAGGAAAATCTCCATTTTGTTGCAGCGTACCTTTCACTCCGCGGGCTACTAACCAATGGTGTCCAACATAAGAACGAGGTCACAGAAGAGGAAGGCTGAGAAAGCTATCCCTCGCTTCTCTTTCTCCTTTTTTAAATGCCTGTCTCTGCTACATCGAGGATGCACCAAATATCTGGGCACATATACGCCCAGAGCTTGGCCCCGGAATCATGGAGCCACTTCGATAGGACATCCCTTCAATCACATCTTAGGATCGAGCCTGCACTGCCTGTTTGTTTTGATGCAATCTACCAGATTACTGTTTCCCAGACTGGTAGATTCGCTTCAGATCCATCTGCATAGACTTCGTGCGCCGAGATTTATGACGCATGTATTCCATGTCGCGAGATTGGAGTGGATCGAGTGCTATCCTTCACGTGGACATGGAGTGCCCAGCCATCAGAGTCAAATTATAAAGCTGGTCTATCCCTCCGCTGGAATGACTTGGCTGTCGGTTCATTATAATTACCGCCGGTCAGAACGCACGAGGACAGCGGACTCGGCCAATACCCACATCTCCGACTGAAACCTCTCCGGTGATTAACCGGGTTTGCACGACTCACGCGATAGACAGCCATCATGTCTGAAGTGGTTCCCTCCTTTGCTGGCCTCTCTGGTCAGAGACTACTTGTGGCTATCACCTTTGCTGCCACAATGGGTTTTCTCCTATTTGGTTATGATCGTATGATGTGATCTACTCTATGCCCAATGGACACAGTTAACTAGTCTATAGAGGGCGTAATGAGTGGTATCATCGATGCGAAACCGTTCAACGATGTCTTCACTGCCACCAGGAATGACTCAACCATGCAGGGTGTGGTCACTGCTATTTACGAGCTTGGTATACACCCCTTTGAAGAGGCGAAAGAAAGCTTGCTAACTTTTCAGGTTGTCTGGGGGGTGCTCTCTTTATCCTTGCCTGTGGAGACTGGCTAGGCCGTCGCTGGTCCATCATGTTAGGCGCCACCGTCATGCTCATCGGGGTGGTCTTGCAGGTCACTTCATTCCCGAACCACCTCCCCCTGGCCCAGTTCTGTATCGGTCGTGTGGTCACTGGCATTGGAAATGGCATGAACACCTCGACGATACCTACTTACCAAGCCGAATGCTCGCGTACCTCCAATCGCGGTCTGCTCATCTGCATTGAAGGCAGCACTGTTGCCATTGGAACTCTTATATCCTACTGGGTGAACTTTGGCTCCATGTACGGTCCACCGGACCTCACTTGGCGGTTCCCCATTGCTTTCCAGTGTGTGTTCGGTCTCATCATCATCGGCGCTCTGTGGTTCCTTCCCGAGTCCCCACGCTGGCTCTTCACCCAAGAGCGATACGAGGAGGGCGAATCGGTCATCGCTGCCCTCCAGGGCAAGCCAGTCAACCATCACGACGTGCAGCTGCAGAAGAACATTATCATGGACTCGCTACGTGCTTCGGGCATGATGGGTGGCGGCAGCACGCCCCTATCGGCGGTGTTCACCGGCGGCAAGACGCAGCACTGTCGCCGCATGTTGTTGGGCGCGTCATCGCAATTCTTCCAGCAAATCGGCGGCTGCAACGCAGTCATATATTACCTCCCCGTGCTGTTCAAAAAGTCGCTTGGTCAGACCGAGTTCTTGTCCATGATCCTGGGTGGCGTCAACATGATCGTGTACTCGATCTTCGCCTGCTCGTCCTGGTTTCTGATCTCCTACGTGGGCCGACGCCGCCTCTTCCTGGTGGGAGCCGCCGTCCAAAGCCTGTCCATGGTGCTCACATTTGCCTGCTTAATTCCCGGGGGCACAGAACCGGCCAAGGGCGCTGCTGTGGGCTTGTTCACCTTCATCGCGGCATTTGGAGCTACCTGGCTACCCCTACCGTGGCTGTATCCGGCGGAGATCTCCCCAATCAAAACACGAGCCAAGGCGAATGCCATCTCGACGTGCACCAACTGGACCTTCAACTTTCTCATCGTTATGGTGACGCCTATCATGATCCGCGACATTAGCTGGGGGACGTACCTTTTTTTCGGCGCCATCAATGCAAGCTTCGTGCCGTTCATTTACTTCCTGTACCCGGAGACAGCGGGCCGCAGTTTGGAAGAGATTGACCTGATCTTTGCTAAGGGGTACTTGGAAAAAATGAGCTACGTTCGCGCAGCGAAGGAGCTGCCGCAATTGTCGGATGAAGAAATCGAACGCGTCGCCCTGGAATTTGGGTTTGGCGGGTCTGGTAGCGAGACAACGGCCAAGGCCGGTGGTGACAGCAGTACGGAGTCGAACGGGGGGTCAGGGGAGGCCGATAAGGTTTAGCCATCGGTTGATACATGTTTGGGTAATTCTGCTAAGGTCTTTGCATGGTGTTTGCATTGATGTTATGCTATGCCGTTGGATCAAGGAATATAGACCGCTTGTGTATCATGATATATTCCACTTCTACTCGAACCCGCGGTAGACAATTTCTTCTGTTTAATGACTATGTGACACTGTTGATGAACCATCAGGAGATGTTATCGGGACTTGATGAGGAAGCAGGGATTGAGAGAGGATGTATTGGGCAAGAGCGAAGACCGATGATGGTTCCCTCTCATTATAGAGGGCTATAGACATGTCTTTCGACATCGACTCTTTGTTTCATGGTGTGCGTCATCCATCATCCTTCCTTTCGAACCAGATAAAATATATCACGGCTATATTACTATAATATGGCTCACGCTATCGGAACTGACCCCTTTGACTCTGGCTTCAACGCTCTCGTCGAGGACCAAATGGCAAGGTGGAAAATCCCAGGGATCAGCATCTGTGTGGTAGATGGCCATAATAACTACTTTAATGTACCCCTATCTCCCTCCTGGACCTGAACCTACGAACTGACGACGAATATAGCAGTACGGTTTTGCCAGGCTGCCTGACAAACCCATGAGAGCACACTCTCTCTTCCCCACCAGCGGCACCACCAAGAGCTTTACCGCAGCGATCATGGCAACGGTCATCGACGACCCCAAAAAAGTACGCGACGACCCGAGCAAAGTACTGGGCCCCGTTCAGTGGAATACGCCTATTGCGACGCGGATACCCTCCCATTTTGTTCTCTCTGACGAGCACGCTACTACCGTTACCACCATTGAAGATGCCCTGTCCCATCGCAGCGGACTGCCAAACCTCCAGCTCGCCGAGGCCCTACGCCATCCTGCTCTGATTATCGAGGATCTAGTCCGTCTTCTACGGCATATGCCACTCGCACCTGATCCAGATCACCGACGCTTCGAGTACTCCAACGAGTCCTATCAGGTCATCTCCCACCTTCTCCAGCGAGTCACAGAAAAGCCGTTAGGAGACCTCCTGCGTAAGAACATTTGGAGTCCGCTCATCATGGACAGCACCTACTTCTCGGTTAATGAGGTCAAGATCGGCCAAAATCCCGTTGATCGACTAGTCCAAGGCTACACCTGGAATGAAAGATCTCGACAATACATCGCCGAAGACTACAGGTACTGCGCCGCCACCAGTGGTGCCGGCGCCGTGGTCAGCTCGGCCACGGACTACGCCAAGTGGCTACGCTGTTTGCTTTTCGAGACGGCACCGCTCTCCCCAGCCGTGCACCGCACCATCAAGTTCCCCCGCATCATTGTCGAGCGCGGGACGGCCTTCGACCACTTCCTCACACCCGAGCAGCCCTACCACTTATATACGCTCGGTTGGTTCCTCGACAGCTACCGGGGGGTGCCGCTGTACTGGCACACTGGCAGTCAGCTCGGCGCCGCCGTCATCGTGGGCTTCCTTCCGTCGATCAAATTCGGGTTCACAATCATGGCCAACACGCAGCCCATGCGATACACCCAGATGGTGCTCTGTGCATTCCTTCTGGACCGTCGCCTTGGTGTCGCCGACCCAGCCGATTCGATGATCCGATCCGTCGAACACGCCATGAGAGAGGCCGGCCTAGCAGCACCCAACCACTGGGCCCGTGTTCAGCGCCGACTCCCTCCCTCGCTGCCCTTGGACAACTATGCGGGCACCTACCAGCATCCCGGGTTCGGGAAGATCACTCTCGCGGCCCAGAACGGCATCCTTCACTCGGACCTGACAGATCGCATCTGCCAGTCTCTCATACGATTGAACCACCTCTCGGGGGAGTACTTTATCGCGAAACAGGTAATGCTGAGCGGTCTATGGGCAAGCTTCGACTCGCCACTCGTGGAGTTTGAGGTAGGGCTCGAGGGGATCGCTGAGCGTATGGCGATTCATGCGCCTACCTTTCCAGGGAAGAAGGTCTGGTTTGCTCGGGTGGAAGAGGGACCTTGTAGAGACCACCATTGCTAGTTCTCTTGCTCGAGATTCGTTGGTCGTATCGATCGCCAGTCTCCCACTCGCTAGACTAAATATCGCTATTCCATTTGGTCGAACTGCTTGGGGGTGAACAACAACAACTTTCTTTCGTTCGATAGTGCGATTTATAGTCGAATGTCTGGAAATCGCGTTCGATGAGTAGTAGACTATCCACGACTGTATGACCCTGACATTCAATCACGTATTACCTACCTACAGACCCACAAATTGTAGAGCACCAAGATCACAAAAAGATCATTTCCCAAACAGTCTGGTAAAATCTAATTGAAAAGTATATAATTGAACAGTATATATAGATAGACGCAGGACACTGGCCCCCACGCTGAGCAAAACCTACGGCCTGGCCAATCAGGGGATGCTTACTGGGGCCTTCATGGGGCGTCGAATGCGCCTTGGCTTTGGAATAGGCTTAGTGGGTTTTGAAAGGGGAGGGATCGTCGGTGGGGTACTAGAGATGGATGGGAAGATGTGGTGAAGATGATGATGGTGATTATGGTTCTGGATATGGTTTTCGGGTTAGGGTTGGGCGTTGGTTATGGCTGAGCGGATGGTATATATATAGAACTGGGGGACTTCTTCTGGGTTGAGCTTTGAATTCTTGCATTACTTCTGCTATAAATTTACTATACCACTGCTGCCCTACTACCACTACTCCTCTGTCAATCTATAACTACACTTAAATATTGAATTAACTGATAGATTGATTAACATGGCCACCTCCAACACATACTACGCCCCCCAGGGCATCCCCGGGTTCTACGGTGCCGCGTCTACCCAACAAAGCGACCCCATCCCATATCTCCCAGACTACATCGCTTCATCTGAACAACAACAACAGCAGCAGCAGCAGCAGCAACAGCAACAGCAACAACAATTCCAAATGGGTGCATCCACGACCCACCCCTACAGCCCCGACTCCTACCCAATCCAGCTCCCGATCATGATCCAGCCGGATACCCCCTCTAGCTCCTTTGGGCAAAGATCAGGGGTAGAGTCAGTGGCAGAATTAAAACCTGGGCAGCAAGACGAGCGCGGAATATACCCCATCGTGCAAAAGGTAGCAGGGATGTTTGGTGTCGAGGGGAGAGAGGATACCGGGACGACGACGTTGCTGTTTATGTTGGGGAAGAAGGCGTATGTTTTGCTTCTTTCTCCTTTCCTTTCCTTTCCATTCATTATGTTGAGACTGACGCTTTAATTGATATGAAGGTATAAAAGAGCGAAAGAAGCTAGGGCAGCGAATGCGAGAAATAATGCTATTACTGGCAGCAGCAGCAGCAGCAGCAGCAGCAGCACGAGCAACACCGCACAAGATTGGCAGACACTCGCGGATGCAATCGATACTGTCGATCATGTTAATCGGGTGCAAGAGGCTTGTGCAGAGGATGCGAGACGAGATTATTCTGATGTTGGGAGTATGAATAAGGGGAGAGTTTGTGGGACCTGTTAGGGGTTTGGGTGTCCGACGGGTTGGATTTGTTTCTTCGTTGGACTGGCCTCTTGTTATATTATAGCGTCATCGTATATACCCCAATGATTAATTTTTCTGCTCAGGCGTATCGCTAGGTTGATAGCACTAGACTAGTATATCTCGTGGGGTGTTCTGTTGATATAAAACAGGATATCTAGACACGCAAGGGTCATGGATTAGGGTTGGCTGGTCTCGTGACCCCCACGCGTGGTATACATACCATTTCGAGTTTGATGTCTTGGTATAGCATCGTTATCGACGGGAAACCTCCCAATCACTCTTCCAACCGCCTCCCCCCAACATCAATGCCCACCTTATAATCCTCAAATTTCCGACTCGGCACCTTCCGCTCAAACAGCACATCGAGCTCCTCAAAAGTGCGCCCCTTCGTCTCGGGCAAACACCAGTAGCAATACACTGAACACAGAAAACTCAGTCCCGAAAACAGAAACCCGATCTTCCCGCGCCAGTTGCCCTGGTCCGCGTTCATCGCATACGGAATTACCACCGTGAACACAATCGACCACACGAAGCACGTCACCGTCGCCAGTGCAATCGTCAACCCGCGTAGTCGCACAGATGACACTTCCGCGAGAAGCACGTAGCAGAACGGCCCCAGGCTGAGGTCGTACACGAAGGTACACGCGACCATCAGTGCGCACTGCGCCCATGTGCCGCTACTGCTCTGTGAGGATACGTCCACCGCGCCGATGGCAAACTGCAGTACGGCGAGTGCGGAGCATCCAATGAGGTACATTGTGCGTCGACCGACTCGCGGGAGCAGCGTCCACGAGATGCATGTCCCTGCTAGACCCAGGGCTGTTAGGCCCAGGTTCATGGAGAAGGCGTCCGAGGAATCCAGTCCTGCGAGCTCCATGAAGTGGACGGCGTAGCTGATGAAGAACACGTTTCCGGTCCACGCTTGCATGTCGTACGCCATCACGCAGATAACAAGGCGGCGGAGGTCGGCGCCTCGGAGACAGTCGAGGTAGCTGGGGCGGTGGTTGCTCTGGCTTAGACTATCCTCAAGGCGGATTGTCTCGCGGATGTGGGCCAGCTTCTTCGTCACGTCAACGTTGGACGCCGCGAGACGGCGCAGGGAGGAGATAGCCGCGGTATCGTCGGGAGTGCGACGGCACAGCCAGTAGGGCGGGTCGGGACAGAATCCCACCAGGGCAAGCACGACGGCGGGTAAAACCCATTGCGTCGCGATAGGGATCTTGTAGGACCAGTGTGAGGCCATGGACTCGGTACCTTTGAGAATGCCCGACGCGACAAGTGACCCGATCGAAAAGCCCAGATTCGTCATGGTGGCAGCGAAACCGCGGAGAGCGAGCGGCGTGACCTCTGCGACGTAGGCGGAAGCGCATATTGGGTAGAAGGCGATGATGCAGCCGTTGACGAGCTCACCGACAAACAGCTGCGCCGGGGTGTGACTGAAGAACTGGATAAAGATGAATGCGATGGAGCAGACGCAGCAGACGGCGATCATGACGCGCGGGCCAAACCGTTCGTAGGCCACGCCTGACAATAGTGCACCAACGATGGCCCCCAACAGGTTGGCGTAGTTGAAGGCTGATAGCCATTGAGCTGCGATGAGGTACTCGCCGTTGCGCTCGTAGCCGTACGTCTCTTTAAAAATCGGTAGCCCGACAAGACTGCGCACTACCGCGCCGTCGATGCCCTTGAGAACGGTGGCCAGGTTCATGAACAGGCCCCAGCCGATGGCTGGCCAGTACAGTGCCATGGCCTGCCGCCATCCCTGTGCATGCTCCTCCTTGGTGAACTGGAAAGACAGTTCAGCTTCATCGCTTCTGTCAGCGGAAATGGCCTGCACCAGAACTTCCTTTTCTGGCATTCCAGACCTCTTGCTGAATCCTTCGGTATCAAATTGTAACACACTATCGGATGTATTGGGTGTTTGGGCCGATATAAACAGAAAAACATAGGATCCACATATTTGGCAGGCTTGGCATGGTGGGGTCCAATCATGCCGCGTTCATTAATCATGAAAGTGTATTTGTATGTGAACAGAAGAGGGGTATCCCCAATTATCACGCAGCCCTCGATAGGACTTCAAGTTCTGGGACCATTCCGCAGAACACCTGCATCCCAAGGGACCGCTTTGGGGCCGTCCCGATCCCGACGACAGGGCGGAATACCCCAGGCCCGGGTGGAGCTAAACCCCGCATTGCATCATTCATGTAGATAGAGGCATCGGAGCTGAAATATCCTCCGGATCGTCACGGGAACAGTAGAGGGAACTCGCTGGTATCATACTAGTGAAGGGCCAGGAACTAGCCAACCAGAGGGAAGTTTATTCCCTACAGAGTGCCTATAGGCCATTAGCGACAGGGTGCTCACTGCCACTTCCAAGCGGGGCGCCGAGCTAGGATTTTGCCAAATGCCGCGCCAACTTGGCCTGCTACCGTGACTGGAAAACCAAATGTGGATAGCAGGCGTATTCTGAATCTTTGCGATAAGCCTTCAACAAACACCTCAAACAATGAGGCTAGCCTAGAAATGTCATTAGTGTGTGATCCCGATACACAAGTCCCCGCTTAAGGGGCAAGGCTGCCATTCAATGAGGGGACGGAAAGAGGGGCACGACTATATAATAGCCATTGTGTGCTTTCTTGGTCTCGATTAACCCATTCACTTTCACTAATTTTGCCAAGATGTCTCTTGACACTACAACTTTCCGCAACGTCATCAATAACGAGTTGACTACCACCGCGGAAACGCGCCATGGTATTAACCCAGCCAACCGCCAGCCTAACCCCGAAGTGCCTGTGAGCACAGCGGCGGACCTTGACCGGGCCGTTGACTGCGCCCGCGATGCCTTCACCAAATGGTCGCGCACCAGCGTCGAGGAGCGCCGCGCAGCCATCCGGGGCTTTGCCGGGGCCATCCAGGCTAACCAGGCCGCCCTCGCCGCGCTTCTCACGCAGGAGCAGGGCAAGCCGCTTGATCAGGCAAACGTAGAGGTTGCCATGACATTGAAATGGTGCGAGGGGCTCAGCTCGCTGGAGCTCCCGCAGACGGTCCTAGAAGAAACAGAGAACCGCAAGGCCATCCATCGATATGTGCCCCTCGGCGTTTGTGGTGGCATCGTGCCCTGGAATTTCCCCGTCTTGCTCGCTGTGGGCAAAATCATCCCCGCGGTGTACACGGGCAACGTCATCATCGTCAAGCCGAGTCCCTTCACCCCCTACTGCGATCTCAAGCTCGGCGAATTGGCCGCGCGCTTCTTTCCGCCCGGTGTCGTCCAGGTGCTGAGCGGTGGCGATGACCTCGGCCCCATGCTCACCGAGCATCCTGGCGTCGATAAGATCAGCTTTACCGGGTCAAGCTTGACGGGAAAGCGTGTGATGGCCAGCTGTGCCAAGACACTCAAGCGTGTCACGCTTGAGCTGGGCGGGAACGACCCAGCCATCATCTGCGATGACGTCGATATTGAGGCCATCATTCCCAAGGTAGAAATCCACTCCTCTCTGCATACATACATATATAGAAGGTCAAAGTTAACCAGGCCTCTAAATGCAGATTGCCACCCTCTGCTTCCTCAACGCGTCACAAATCTGCATGATGGTGAAGCGACTGTACGTGCATGAAAATATTTACGACACGTTCCGCGACCAGCTGGTGGCATTTGTGCGGAATTTCAAAGTTGGGAATGGCACTGAGCCAGGCGTCTTCATTGGACCCATTCAAAACAGCATGCAGTTCGACAAGGCCAAGGAAATGTTCAAGAGTGTCGCGGCTGACGGACTCAAAGCGGCTGTGGGCGGTGCCATCACCGACTCGGACGGCTACTTCGTGCAACCAACCATCATCGACAATCCACCAGACTCAGCGCGAATCGTGCGCGAGGAGCCCTTCGCACCGATCATGCCCATTCTTAAGTGGTCCGACGAGGAGGACGTGCTGCGGCGCGCCAACGACTCGGAGAGTGGCCTGGGCGCGTCCGTCTGGTCTCGTGATCTAGAGAAGGCGCAACGTATGGCCGATAGACTGCAGGCGGGCAGTGTTTGGGTCAATACGCACTTTGAATTGGAGCCGGGGATGCCGTTCGGAGGACACAAGACGAGTGGAATTGGGACGGAATGGGGAGTCAGTGGGCTGATGCAGCATTGCAATAGCCAAACGTTGTGGATCAAGAAAAATCCATGATTGTGTATAACTCGTTAAATGAGAATATTAGTGCCCCTGTTCACCAGACTTGGTGACGGGAGAAGTAAAGAAATGAAGTTGAATAAACGAAGGAATCTTAAAAAAGAAAGGTCCCGTAACGTGACGCTGGCACGTGGGCTGTCATATGATTTCCGACTCTCCGCTGCAGTTGTTCTTCTTCGACTCAACTTCCTGTCATAATCTTCTTCTCCCACACGAAGGAGCTATTTCGATTGGACATGTCAGTAACAGACTCCCTCATATACAACACAAGACCGGCCGTGAGTACAAAAAGACATCTTTGGATGTGGTTTCTGTCGCCCAGCTATCCAGATATATTTGTCACTCCTTGAGCTTCGGGAGCAGTTATGTGCTTCTCTGGCCACGAAAGATATGGCGATACTCACAAATGTTCGCAGTTGAGAGCGGGTGACTTGACTTGATATGCAAACCCAGTACTTATAGAGATGCACAATTGGTTGCGGTTTTAGAGCCCATTCTAGATATCAGTACCCTATGAAGACTGAATGCATCTTGGGTGATTACTCGTTATCAAGCATCGCCTGACAGGTCGCCGTTGGCAGCAGGCTTGCCACAACCTTGAGTTTACAAATACACAACTGGGATGTTGACGATACTGCAGCTGTCGTCTCACATCGCTGTGCTATGTCCTGTCTCAACGCAAACCTACACGTTAAGAATGCAATGTGGTATCATTTGGAGATCGAAAATGATCAATGCTCTTACTGATTGGGACGACGGGATTATTTGGTCGATTTGCCGCTTTATCCATTATTCGTGGGTTCCCTAATGAGAGTGGCCTACTGTATGGCGCTCAAAGCCTCGTTACCCGACAGCACAGTAAGTACCAGATGTCCCTTGAAACCCCACATACACAAATTGGCCGGTGATGGCCCTAACAAAAGGGGTTTGAGTGGACCCAGTTATCTATGCTAGAAGGTTCCTTTTAAATCCAATTAGAGCACTGAAAAACATCCTCGGGGATCGGTGGTCGGTCCCTAACGAACCAACATTGGCCGAAATGCCGACTTTCGTATCCGGACCAATGCCAACCCCAGAAAATAACCCCAGACTGAGCGATAAGCAGGCGGACTTCCCCGTCTGCCCAACCTCGGATCGAGGTGTGGGTCGATGTGTGGGGAACCCCGCAGCCAATGAAGCTATCGGGAGCGAGTTACGGTTTCTGCGCCGCCCTGCCCGAGTCTAGATTATAATCGCATAGATGTCCTCGTCTCTCGAGGGCCAATGTCGTGAACTGTATGACTGTGTCGGTAACCAAGATGGCAAGCTATTCTCCCTATCCAGAGGTCACCGTCCCCGAGACGGACCTGTGGAGCTTTCTCTTTCAACGTCCCGAGCGGACGTTTCCCGAGTCGAACGGTGTGTTTGCCCATTGAAGAGAAGAAAGAAATTGCAGGATGCGAGACCGGAAAAGTCGAAACTCAAGCGGAAATATCTAACAAGACCAGTAATATTGACCGATGTGGCCACGAACCGTTCCTACACCTTTTCCGACGCCCGCAAACTCTCTCTCAACTTTGGTCGCACGCTCCAATCTAAATTCAACTTCCGTAAAGGCGATGTGCTCAGCGCTGTTTCAGGCAACTGCATCGACTTACCCCCTATTATTTGGGGTGCTGTTTCAATCGGCGCTGTCGTCAGTCCCCTCAATCCAGGGTTCGGTGCCGCCGACCTGGTTCATTATTTCAAAGATGCGGGCACCAAAGCGGTCGTCACCCAAAAGGCGCAATATGAAGCCGTTGCAAAAGCTGCGCGGGACGCAGGACTCGACCAGGACAGAATTATCGTCATCGACGACGCCGCGCAGGACGTGTGGCAAGATGACCCAGCCGCTATCCCCGACACTGCCTTTGCGGGGCGGCATAGTCCTCCAGTGACCAATCCCGCCCAAGATCTGCTCTTTTTGGTTTACTCGAGTGGGACCACCGGGCTACCAAAGGGAGTGATGCTGTCGCACAAGAACGTCGTTGCGAACTTGGTGCAGGCGGCCGCCATTGACCGGTATGCCGATGGGAAAATGTTACTTGGTCACACTGACAAGGCGCTTGCCTTTTTGCCTTTCTTCCACATTTATGGTGAGTGAGATTTCTATCTCCTACTACCCTCTAAGTTGCATAGATGGCCGTCTTGCTAACAGCGTCAGGCATCACCGGTATCATCAGTGCCGGGCTCTTCCTTGGTCTTAACACCTTTGTGATGCCGCGCTTCGATCTCCAGACCGTGTGCCAAACTATCCACAACCACCGCATCACCTATGTATACGTCGTACCACCCGTTGCCCTTCAGCTGGCCCAGAACCCCCTCGTCGACAAGTACGACCTACGCTCTATCAAGTTGCTCAACTCCGCTGCGGCCCCACTTTCCGTGGAACTGATCCGTGCGCTGCACCAAAAGAGAGGCATCCCCATCCGACAGCAGTACGGCATGTCGGAGACAGCGCCGTGCACGCACTCCCAGGTACATAGTCCTCCGCATCCTCCGCACTGTTCGAACCAGCATCGTGTCGCTAACCCATGAAGACATACGATGAATCCAAGAAATACCCAGGCGCAGTGGGTCGTCTGATCCCCAACGTGACGGCGAAGTTCGCGCCGATTGCAGGCGAGACGCGCCGCTCAGAGAAAGAGGGCGAGCTGTGGGTCAAGGGCCCCAATATCTTCTTAGGCTACCACAACAACGCGGCGGCAACTGCGGAGGCGTTCTCCGAGGACGGGTTCTACAAGACGGGAGACGTGGGGTACGAGGACGACTACGGGAACTTCGTGATCACGGACCGCATTAAAGAGCTCATCAAGTATAACGGGTTTCAGGTGGCGCCGGCGGAGCTGGAGGGCCTTCTCCTGGGCCATCCGGCTGTGGGGGACTGCGCTGTGGTGGGTATCCCGAATGGGCAGGCCGGGTCGGAGGTCCCGCGCGCGTACGTCAAAGCTGCAAAGCCGGAGCTGCAAAATGAGGCTGTGGCGAGTGAGATTGTGGAGTTTGTGAAGGCCAAGGTGGTGAATTATAAGCAATTGCGGGGCGGGGTGGTGTTCATCGATGAGATCCCCCGAAATCCGTCTGGGAAGATCCTGCGGAGGGAGTTGAAGAAGATGTTCGCTAGTAAGATTTGAAGATGACTATTGAATAGATATAGAGAATAGAATGCATTATACCAGTCCATCGACACTGAGATTTCTATGATAGAGCTCCCCTACTTGTCGTTTGAACCACCAACATGACAGCCCTCATAGCCTACCAAGTAGACAATATGACACCTGTAGCACGGCCAACTGCGTTACTTGCCTGTATCTTGCGTGACCAGTACGGTACATGCAGGAAAGACTCATAACACTCTGCGTTCTCTGGCGAGGTGCTGCAAATCTGGCCTATGTGGTGCAGCCAGCATGATTGCTGCAACTTTTCTTTAGGAAGCATCTTCACATTTGCTGGTCTTCTCACATGTCATATATACAATATGTAATGAGGAAATATACCGATGATATGATGGTATTGGTGAAATCTTTGGGAAGTCAATCCTGAGGAGTCAGGTGACGAGTCGCCATTTGATCGATTGCACCGTGTCTGGTAGTATATCTCCTGCCTGTCTGTTAGAAATTACCGGAATTGTTCCATCTGGCCTTTTGCTCCACCTGGGTCACAGAGGGGATTCTATAGACGGTGCAGACACATCACATTGCTTCTTCCAGCAGATATCACGCTCAGATCTGGAACCACATGTTGATGGATCTACTGCATGTCCATCAATGACGCGTATTACATGGCCAGCGTAAAGGTTACGGTCGATACTAAGGGGTATATCTGCAGAATGTTGCTGTTTAAATATCCAAATCGACACGATGTCAAACCGCATCTCAACACCGGCTGTATCATCTGTATTTTCCGACTGTAGGAGCACGTCGTACTGCATACCGTCCCACAGTTTCCTTCCACACGCGCTATACGTATACATTCGGGAACCCATCAGCGACTAATACTCCCAGCCCTCTGTCTAGGCACCCCACGAATCTGCTCTGAATACCTCCGTGCAAGGCCCTCCTGTGCAGGCTCAGTCTGCCCCGGAAACACCGGTGGACCGCCCAAACTGCCCAGCACGGCGCTATTATTCGCCGTCAAATCGTCCAACACGTCCAGCTCACGCTGACTGAACCACTTCGGCAAGGCCCAAACTCGGAGCGGGATCAGTGCGATAATCAGCACGGGAAAGCCTGCACACGTATTCGAATTAGTATGGGCAAGCCAGCCGGAAAGAGGAGGGGATAAACAAACCAATAGCGGCAATGGTCTGCGAGATAGCGACGCAGGCGGCAACGCCAAGAACCTGACACGCGATAAATAGAGCGATCTTGCGGCGGCGGACGGTCAGGAGTGGATTGTCGCGTTGCACGAAGCGGTCCTCTAGCATGAGGAACACGGCCTTTTGCAAGATGCCGTTGGACTCGATCGAGCCCCAGCCGACGATGAAAAAGACGCCTGCAAAGACGGCTGTCGGCATCATGTGCAACACGATGAGCAGCGGGCCTGTCATGGTTCCGATGATGGCGAGGCCCATGACGAAGTGCGAGACGCGCTGCTCGACAACGCGCGTGGCGGCTGTTACGGGCCGGCGGATCTCGGTGCCTTCGCCTTCTGTTGTGGGGATAATGTGCAGGTCGGTTTCGTAGACGGTGAGACTGTCAGTGTGGACTGGGGCTTGGGGGACTAGTCCGTTTGGCATCGGGACGCCGGTGATACCGGCAATGAAAGTCGTGCAGCCGAGGAGGAAAAAATCCCAGTGGAAGCCGGCGGGCTTTTTCAGGGGGAACTGTCGGGCTTGGGCGCCTAGGCTGCTGACATTCTGGTCTTGTCAATATCTTCTCTGGCAATCTATGGCGAAAATCAGAGGGGAGAGACTAACATGGTCATAATAAAAAAGAAGCATGGTTAAAAACCCAAACGGCAGCGCCGCGAAGATCCACTTCACATCCAGCTCCCAAAAGTGAATGAGCCAGCCCCGCGCCTGCGTGGGATAGAACGCGCGAGTCACCGGGACGAAGGTGATATCGGTCGACTTGAGGTTCCCAGGGAAGTGGGCAAATCCTACCCAGAACAGAGTCCCGATCTAAAATCTTAGTACGCCAGACCCGACACGCGAATTGCATATCTACAATCCGGTAGGAAAGCACACGTACAACGTAAGCATAGTCTGCCAGGAATCCCCTGAACCCGGGCCGCCACACGGTACTCGACCCCAGCTTTTCCAGTGCGTAAATGGTGAGGAAGTATAGCATGGCTATTACACAGCCCAGATATCCTGCGCTGTGGCCATGAGAATCAAACTCGTTCACCAGCTCTTCCACACCTTTGACTGTAAATTGTCAGCATATCTAGCTCTCTCTCTCTCTCTTTCTCTCGCTCTCTCTCTCCTGTAGACAGCCTGATAACGATCAAAAGGGGTAAACGTACTACAATAAATAATCCCAACATACATCCCAAACGACTCGCTAGAAAAATCCGTCACGTAGCGCATATAGTCACAGATATTACAAGCCGCCACAATCCAGTGGAAGATCGCCGCCCAGATAGCCGTCCAGCACATAAAGTTCGGATAAATAGACGGCTCGTACTGGGTTACAATATCGTAGATCGTGTAATTAAACAGCGAAATCAACCCCGTAATGCCGACAATAGTCAGCGGCTGCGCGGCAAACACACTGAAGATCATAGCGGCCAGCGCAGACGAGAACAGACCCTCGTTGATGCCGTAGAAATTGCCCGTCCGGCGGTCCATGTCGAGTGTATATGCTATCGCAGGAAGAATGCTGCGCTTTTTTAGCTGTTGTGGTTGGGATGTGCATAGGGGCAGGGGAGGACGGACTTGACGAAGTACATGCGCACGATACTGGCTACCGTGCGGTATGTGAATGCATCCGTGATGTCGCTCCTATAGTAGGGAAGTCTTCTGCGCACGTCGTGATACATCCCCCGGCCGAGACGGAGGATGCGCACGCTCTTCCATCCCTGGAGACTGTCGTAGGTGTATGTCTTTTCCCGTTCGAGGGGGATGGAGTGGGTAGAGGACGAACTTGCCATGATGGGTGGGTTGTCGTCTTGAGGTGTCGTATATCGTTGTGAGGAGAGTGTATGGGCAAGGGAAATGTGATGGATGCCGTTTTGTTTCTTTTTTTTTTTTTTTTTCTTTTCTTTTCAGCAGGCTAAAGCAGTGGCCAGAAACCCTCGGTTATGAGGCCATGCCGAAGGGATGACACAGTAGGACGAGCGCGAGGTAATTGAACAGAACCATCCTGACTATATTCACCTGTGTTTTATGTATTTCCTGTGATTGCACACACCTTTATAATGTTTACAGTGAGTAGTTGTATATCATAGACAAGTTCCCCTATATCTTGCACATAAATATGTTGCCATGGTGTAATAGACTTGCCACAGAAAACAGACGCACACTGATTGGGCGGTGGATTCTGCCCGCGCAGAATGCCATCTCCACTCGCGACATCCAGTGACGCCATATGGATAGTACATTTTTGAGGATTAACTGATGAGAATTAATTGAGAATAATCTACCTGTTTGCTCCAAGCAATGTGGTCCATATCTATATTATCTCGCGCTCCGTAATATTGGTAAAACGCCCCTACGAGGTGTTACCGCAAATCAACACTCAAAGGATCCTGCCCTCTTCCCCAAAAAACGACAACACAACTCCCCACAAAGACACACCTTATCCAAACAACTCCAATAATGATCCGAGTAGTCCACCGTGATCTCACTACCAGAAAGAACACCACGCGATACAACGACGATGCGCTCCGACCCGCGCCAGCAGAACCGCTGGAACTGGCTATTCGGGTTACAGGAGTGGTTGATAAAGCGAGTAAAGTTGCCTATCACGATATATCAGCGCTGCAGCCACAATGCAGACAAGAAATCGGCGTACCCATTTGCCCTTGGAAGATCTGGTAGCGGTGTGATTCTGATCCGCCTATCATTACGTCGCGACCTTCGACGCCGTTGGTGATTAGACCGATGAATTCCCCGATTGCGGCGCCGCGTTCGAAGTCCTGGGTTTGTCATTGAGTTGTCTCCGCACAAGGAACAATGGGTCCTATGGAGGCCACTTACCCGACGAGCTACAACACCGTTATTCTTCCCGTTCTGGGTACCAACAACCTGGACTGCGGTGGGAAGTCTAAGACAGCCAAAGAGATCCGGAAAACAGCTGCACCGGTTAAGGGTGATATTATCCGACTGTCGCTCCGCGCATGTCGAACAGATATCAGGATTAATCTGCGGCATCAGTCGCGGATCGCGGCTACCAAACACGTCCTGATCAATTACCGACTTATCAATGAACTGATAGTCGAGCTCCTCCACGCCGAGATGTCTGTAAGTAGACTTCAGAGGCTGTGCGGGATGGCTGTCCACGATCACCCACTGGTGCGGATGTCCGGTGTACCGGGGCGGGGACGCTTGGCCGACTATACCGAGTAGCTGCCGCCACTGGGGATGGAGGGTATCGGCAGCTACTTCAAAGCTCTGTCGCAGGTGGCGTAGTTGAGTTGTCAGTCCTTCGTTGAAGCCAATGCGGTATTTGCAGAACCGGTATATTCCGGACCCAGCGAACACGAGGCTCGCCCATCCGCCGGCTTCTTTGATCTCCTTGTATCCGCGCCAGATCCCTCTTGTCATACATCAGCACGAACAGAGAGAAGTGAGTCTGGGGTGTAGGTCACGTACAACCTATTTCGAAGCTCTTTTTCCGTCAGCCGTAGCACAGCGCATGCCTCCCGTAGCACCGTCATACGCGCCTCGGTTACGGAAAGTAGAGGCTGCTCTATCTGAAATGCGACAATGCGCGCTTCGAAACAGTCTACCCAGTAGGCCTGCACTATCATTTCCAGGGCGCGCGACGACTGACTCTGGCCGTGGCACGTCAGGCATATGGTGTTAACCAGTCGGAAAGCCTGCACGGGTTAGTGGACGTCAACAAGTCGTAACTCCCCAATCCACACCTACTTCCTTGCTCATTCCTCCGCCGATGTAGGTGTCCGGATCCACCAACTATACATAAAGTTAAGATAGACCAAGATAGTAGTGCAAAGAAGGATGGTCGCTCACTAGATTGGGTTGGCCCCATTTGACCTCCGAGTGAATCTGCCGCCATATCCCAGAAAGTAGCTTGTCGGTAGAGGTAGGGGTCATGACGGGCACGACTGGTTCCTGGCGTGGTTTTCGCAGCGGAAAGCGACTGTCGCTATGGACCTGGCGGATAGAACGTGTTTCCCCAGACGGCCTAGTGGACTCTTCGTTGTCGCGGGTAGTATCTGTACCAGCAGTGAGAGATACACAAATTTCCGGTTCTGTGTCTATAGACATCTTTCGTCGTTTGGCCCGTACATTGCCTTTACCAGACTCCTCATCTGCATGCTGCGTCCCTGCGGTACGAGACGCATTCACAGTGTTTTTCGAGGACGGAGTGTGAGGAGGCTGACTGGTAGAGTCCTGATCTCCCCAGGCGTAGTGCTTCAATCAGCAATCCATCCACGGTCTAGCTATACCAACTAACCTCTTCACCAGGAACCGAAACCGGCGCCAGCCCAGACTCATTTACCCGATGACCGCTCGCAAGGTCGACATAGGCCTGGCTGGATCAGTACATTGATCGAGAAGTTTTCGATACCAAACACCATACTTACCACGACTGGTCTCGACTTCTCACATTGCTCTGCAAGCCCATTCCCGGCCAAGCTGCATAGGCTGAGCTGGACACGTAGCAGGTCGGTAGGCCCAGCCCCATCCAAAAGGGCTTTCAGCTGGTCGGAGAAAGATGTCCCCAAGAGTTCACTGAGAGTGTGGAGTGCAGGTAAATGTGGTGATGGCTGCATGTATATAGCGTGTGTATAACAGGATAAAATAGATTAATAGTCAAAGTACAACCCCCCGTCTGTTGTGTAGTAAAGGAATAGATTGTCTAGTGGAGATAGAGATCGACGTCATCAAATTCTGCGTGGGCAGAAAACCAGATAATTTAACCATGGTTTATGTAATGCAGTTTTTGGCTGTTTAAGTTGGTTCCTGGATTGGATAACTTTATTTTGCAAAATCAATAGTATAGTATGTGGTGGTATATACGACCAAATTCCAAAATTTATTGACAAGGGAATAAGTAGTTAAGTAGGTAGTGTTCACTGAACACAATAAAGAAAGATATCCTCAATTAAACAGGCTACTTCTTCAACGCCAACTCCTTCAGTTTCCCGAAGTTCGGCGTCCCCAACCCAGTAACAGGATCCCAGCCTTTAATGGCATCCCACCCGGCATCGGGAATAACAGGGCTGCCATTCGGAGGGCCCCCAAACCGATCTTTTCCATCACACCCAGTGCTCCGCCCGTCCACAATATCAGTGAACCCGTCCTTACCAGTGGAGTACAGCCAGGGGTTCAGGAAACCCAGCACAGGCTGTCCCGCACGCAGACGCGCATCGTTCAGCAACCCAATGATACCCGCAAACGCCGGCGACGACGCGCTCGTACCGTCAAACTGCGCCAGACGGCCCTGGTCATAGACAGCGAAGGCCTCGCCCTGGGCAGCGACGTCGGGGAACGCGCGGCCGGCGCGGTCGAAGTACTTGCTGTACTTGTCGCCGATGGTGTCGAGGAAGGAGTCGACTGCGTCTTTCTGCCAGGCGGGCTGCTTCCACAGGTCGGAGAAACCGCCGGAGGAGAAGACGCTGCCTTCTTCGGGCTTCATGCCGTGGGTGGCGCCGACGGAGGTCACCCAGGGGCAGGCGGCGGGGAATTGGGGCGGGAAGTGGGTCGTGTTTTTGCCGTCGTTGGTTTGGCACGAGGAGCCGATGCCGGAGTCGCCGGAGGAGAAGATGACGGAGACGCCGCGGGTGCCGAGTTGCTTGTACAGGTCGCAGACTGTGTGGGCGTATTTCTCGGTGACGGTCTGCTCGTTCTCGCCGTAGGAGGTGGAGATCACCTGCGGGACCTTCTTCTGCTTCAGGACCTCCTGCAGGAATTCCAGGTACGGCTCGTTCTGGTTGTCGCTGGGGTCGGGCTGGCTGAGATCGGGGACGAGGGGGCCACGGCCCGAAGTGATGAACTCGGTGACCGGCAGCGGGGCGCTAACGCCCATGATGTACTGCAGGTCGAGGTTGGCCTCGCCGGAGTCGTTCTTCGAGGTCTGGTCGTTGTTGGCGCCGTTGAAGAGGACAACGGAGAAGTTCTGGCCCACGGCATCGGGGAGCAGCTTCTCCTGGAACATCTCGAGGTCGTCGTAGCGCGCGGACTCCTCCAGGTAGCTGGAGAAGCCGACCTCGCTACCGCTCTTGGGATCGGCCTTGTAGTCGCCAATGTTGTATAGCGACTGCAGACACTGGGGGGTGATGACCGTCGAGCAGTGGGAGATGTTGCGAGCAACGATCATCTGGGCCAGGAAGTTCTCGTCCACCTCGGCGGGCTTAGCGCGCAGATGGCTGTGGTTGGGGCGGATCTGTCCAAAGCGCGTAGTCGGCTGGATGGTGTTGACGTGCTGTGCAACGGCCTCGGGGACGGAGTAGCGCAGGGTGCGCAGGCGGCGCACGTCCCGGGTGGCGCTCGCGTACCATTGGAAGCTGGCGTCTAGCAGGGCGTTGGCCTTGCTGACGCTGGTGCTGAACTTGATCCAGTCGGCGTCCTGCTGGACGTTGTCGATGCCGGCGGCCGACAGCCAGTCGCGCACGACGCTGACCGACTCGTCGCGTGGCAGCAGCATGCGCTTCATCTCGTCGTGACTGTCGAAGTGTTTCCCGTAGTTCTCATGGCCGGGGGTCGCCATGTCCATGGCGACTTTCTCGAACCCTTCCGGGTCGCCCTGCGCCAGGGCGATCTGGAGGCGGAGCGGTTCGTCGGCAGCGGGGTGGTGCGAGTATCTCCATCCTAGTAGGGTCAGTATATCACATCAATGTTTGCGCCACCGGGGTCCATACCCTGCGGTACAGCCGACAGCTTCTCAAAAGCCTCGGCCGACACGGTCGCGGCCAACAGGGAGTACACCGCGAGCGTAGCCGCTCCACGGCCAAAGAGAGTTGACAGCATGATAACTGCAGTCAACGACGAGGGTGAACTATGACGATCAGTCTGGGGGAGATAAGATGAAAAGAAGGGGGGGGGGGGTGGTATGGTATTTATTTGCGGCCCAGCCATTATTAGCCGACATTCCCCCTCGCGCGAGGCCCCGATTTAGAAAATGATCTATTTTGGGGATCCATAGTTAAAACGCGTGGACCAATCCCAAAGAACGCATGTACAGGGTTCTTGGTAGTCTATCTCCAGCTGGTGGAGTCGATGGAACCTGCATATTGTTGCGCAATCAGCCATCAAACGGGGTCCCGATGGGGGCCCGGTTTGCTCTGAACATTTTTCCGTACCTGGAGGGGGAGGTGGGCCAGCTGCTCCACTGGAGGTTAAGGTCCTAAGCCATATTTGTGATAGGGGGCTGTCTTGACATCGCGATACTAGTGATCCTGATGCGATGGTCAGGTACGCCATGGCCTCTGCAGCAGCTGAAACCCGTGAGGAGTAGGTCGAGATTGACGGCTTCCCCTCTTTCGGTGTCACAATTGATTCCCAAGGATGAGGAACTTCTCAGGGAGATTATGTGGGTTTGTTTATCGTTTCCATCCCATTATTATGGAACAATGCTCACTTCTTCGCTGATTTGTTGATTTTTCATCCCAGGATCGGCGCGGCTGCGGTTCCACATGTACCATCTTGGCGTCATTGGCACTCTCGCAGGTGCCAGGAACAGACCGACCAGACCAGATAGGAGTCTCCTCATGGTTCATCTATCGTGCATCAACAGACAAACCAACATTGAGACACTCAATCAACCCTGATACACCACCCGGTCGGTCGTGAACCGACGCTACCCACACACCATGCATCGCACCATGTAACCCCCTAACTGATCTCATTTCCCCCCACCTCCGAACCCCTGATCTTCATTTCCTGGCCCCCCTGCCATGGCGTGCCTCGTCGCCAATCACACTCTCCCTCCGTCCACTCCGTGTCGGACTCCGATCAGCCAGGTATTATCTCCTCAGAAAAGCTTTGGAACACGGACGCTTGTATCACACAAGCTTCATTTTCGTCCCATACACCCCACCCATTGGCCCCATTATATTGCTCGGTAACAACGGCACCGACAGATGGTTTGGATGGTGCCACCTAAGACAATATCTAAAGTCTTAGCTAGATGCCGCGTTTCTTGGCAATTCGGTCATGGAAGTCCCCGAGGGAATGCTGGGGAATGTGCAAGGAAGCATTCGGTTACATAAATGAATCTAGGGTGTATCCTGCTGCCTGGTTGCCTGCTTCCTTACTTTGGGTTCATTTCGTACGGCTGAACTATACGATGTGACTGTACATGCACTATAGAGTGTCTGCTGGGTTTGATTGGTCTCCTCCATATATTCCATATTGAACAGAATGTAATCGGCTGAAAATTACAAATAGAAATTGAATTGAGTTAAATAATCAATTGCGAAGCAGAAGCAAAGCAACAAAGTCAAGAAAGAAAAGAGAAAAAAGAGAGGGGAGGAAAACACCGGAGAAATTAGAGATGCAGAGAAAGCAATCATTGGAATATCATCATCTAGAGCCTGAGAACCACTGTTTTAATACAGTGAATCAAAAGTCATCAAAGCTCATAACAATGGATAAATCAAGTACAAGCAAGAGGCTCAAACGCTGTAGTGATAGTTGGAAATCTTCTTCATTCACTCACACTATCAACTCTATAGATACAGCTCATCGCCCTGGTGATCTTTCTCTTGTCCTCTTCTACTTCCAAACGATCCCTCTCGCACATGCATGTCAACGTGCTATTTGACAACAAAATCGAAGCATTCGTTTGTTTATGCAACGGTGTCTAAGACCTCCACATCAACATCTACATACATATTAGGATATGAATCGTATCAAGCTCAACCAATTTGATTTAGTATCATGGTGCAGTGGATGTCAGGTTACACTGGCTGGTCCTACTTGCCAGTCAAAGCATGCTTAGTTCTGCATCAAATGGATGAAACAGACGTTCATCTGATCAATGTTACATGACGACCGATCCAGGTGTTGACTTATCTGATGGCATTCCGTCGGTATGACTGGGCTCAGTCTACCACTGACGGTATACGCTATCATGCCATTTTGGTGTCTCGTCGAGTGACAGTGAATTCCTAGATGAATCAGGCAAGAATCACACCTCGCAAAACTGGAATCTACGAAACATGCACAATCAATGTTGCATCTGCATGCTCATTTTGAAGTTATTCTAAGATATATCTCCCGCTGTGGCTCAGGACTAACGGTCTGAGATGCAATTCTCTGGACTGGAGAAACTTTTCTAAAGTGTTCTCGCCTACTGGTGCCGACACAACTTGGGACCGTGTTTCCAGAGTCGAACCCTGTGTTTACACAAATGTGGAATCTTCTTCGGCCTGCTCGGAGTGCGTGGACACGGATCTCCAAGCCATGGTCTTCTGCTGTCGCTCGGGCCAACAGCCTGCGATACAATTCTCCTGGATTAGAGCGAATTTCGCAGCGTTTTCTCTTGATGTTACTGATAGTACCTAGAGTTCATTTTCTAAAATAACCATTTGTTTACTCTTATGTCAATATTTCTTCGGTCTGCACCGAGAGTGTGGACAAGGATTATATTGACGTTGACATTTATCTGTTTCAAAGGTCTTCCTCGTGGTCGTTATATGCTTCAATTTGAGATAGGCGAGTATAGACCATGAATTTATCTCACTGTGCGCGTGTAAGAACATACAACAAAAAATTGACAACCTAGATAAGAATCGAGAGAAGCCTGAAAGTGACATTCATGAAGAACTATACGCGGGTTCCCAAAACTAGTGATACGCAGTATCAAATCACAAATCCGACTCATCCCCCGAAGGTAAAGACATCGCTTCAGCGTCTTTCATTTCTTGAGTCCACCGCGCCAATTCCTCGGGATGTATAATCGTCTGTCCGGGATGCGGAAAGCAACAGCGAGCTGGAACGAAGTGCTGTCAAGTAGAGCATTAGAATGTTCAACCAGAAGATGATAAAAATAGGGGGCATTTGGACATTCTTTACCAGCTCTGGGTCATTATAGATCTGTCGCAGGATCGAGAGGAAGGGTAGTTCAAAATCGGCGCTTAAATCTCTCATAGAAAGCTCGAAGTACTCGAGATTCCTGAGAGTAGTAGACAATTTGATTTCATCAAGGGTTAAGTCGCGCTCTTCCACGGGGATGTCTCCTTTCGTGCCGCAAATGATGATGCAAACAGGGTTTTTGTTTGCGGAGAAGATCTCATCTGGGGATCATCAGTATCTGACATGAAGCCAGGGGGCTGGAGGAGGATTACATACTATGCCAATAGGTGACATTGTCAAATTTTTCTCGCCTGGAGAGGTCAAATAGTATGATGGCGGCGTCCATGTCCTTGAGACGCTCGGCTTCGCTTGGTGAGGTCAATTCAGCGCCGGGGATCTCCAAGACTTCGAGGTTAACGAGCCCATGACTCTGTGCGATCTGAGGTATCAATATTTGGTCACTCTGTGCTGATTAGTTGAACAGTATACCGTAATAAAGGGCAGGGTTGTTATGTGGCAAGCAGTTGTCGGAGTATACTCGCTTATGAACTCGCCAGTAAGGTTTTTGTGTATGAAGCTGGACTTCACAGTTGTATTTTTAGTTTAATAGACCAGGGATAGCTCTATATTCCATGGAGTATTGAGTTGGGCAATACCTTTCCGACCTCTGTGTCCCCGAGTAAGGCAACTCTGTGTGTTGGGGTCATCGTGCTGCGTTGTCTAGCGTCTGATTGTCCTTGCTAGATTTTATATCAATGTGCTGGGTCTTGAGGCAGAGATGGATGTTAAATTTGGAATATTGAGAGTCTACTGTTCTGATTAAAGTGTTGGTGACTAGAGCTGGTGGACCATGGGGGCTGTGCAAATGGGCTATTACCATTGTAAGATAAATCATCCACTTCAGCTACAGGAAGGATCTCGAAAGAAAATACTAGTGCGAGTGTCAGAAATGAGGCTCGTATGAATAACATACTACTCGTCCAATACCTAAATTCGTAACGCATACCAATAATAATCCGGACGGAAACCATCCTGCAAGCACCATCCATCCCTAAATCATGTAGACAAAGTCAAGAAATCTATTCCACCCGCCATCTGGCACTCACCTCCTTCTCCAACCCAGCCCTCTGCACAACCTCCCTACTCCTCCTCTGTGCTTCCTTTACAATCTCACTCTCATCCATCGTCGTTAACTCTCTGTCTTTCACCAGAATCTTCCCATCAACAACAACATAGTTCACATCCCGCCCCGTGGCAGTATAAACAACCGCCGAAACCGGATTAAACCACGGCTGCGAATGCGCTCGTCTCATATCTAACGCCACAAAATCCGCCTTCTTCCCCACCTCAATACTCCCAATACTATCCTCTAGTCCCAGCGCCTTCGCCCCGTTGATCGTCGCCATCTCCATCACCGCCTCCGCCGGAACAACCGTCGGATTACCCGAGACACCCTTATGGATGATCCCCGCGAGCTTCATCTCTTGCAGTAAGTCGCAAGTGTTGTTGCAGGGGGCGCCGTCAGTGCCCAGCCCTATATTCACCCCTGCAATTTCCAGGTCCGGCACGCGGCAGGTCCCCGACGCAAGCTTGGCGTTGGAGGTGGGACAGTGCGCGACGTGGGTCCCTGACGCTGCTAGTCGGTGTATATCGTCGTCGTCTAAATGCACCATGTGTACCAGAACGGTTGTTGGGGACAGAAGCCCCACAGACTCGCAGAATGACATGGGACTGTGTCCGATAGAAGCACAATACGCCCTATCGGCTTTGACTTCGCAGCAGTGCATTGTGATGGGGATGCCCTTTTCACGGGAGAGTGCGGTCATCTCTTTGTAAAGGGATTCCGATACACTGTAATTCTCCATCAGCTTTTTGTTGTGCGGGGTGGGATCTACCATGTGGGATCTACCATGGCAGTGACAAATATAAAATAAGCGAAGACCAACCCTCCCGGCGTACGCGCTCCAAACCACACCCGAATCCGATCGTCGGCCTTTCCATTCCACCTTTCCCACGCATTCAGCGTGCCCACCAAAGACATCTCGCGGTCCTCAATAAGTCCAGGATGCATGGCCCAAGCGTCGTCTTCAGCGTACTGGCCGGTGTCCATGACAATCTTCCCGAGACAGCCACGAATGCCACTTTCCTCGACCGCTCGGGCGAGGCCGTCGAAGCCGTACCGATCGGCGAACTGCGTCAGAAGCGTGGTCTTAGCTCATCACACTCATTATATACGGCGAGCAAATATCACAAGGGTATCTCAACCATTGATTCCAGAAAACACGTCGTCCCCGACTTCAGCATCTCCGCGATACTCAACCGCGCCGCGGCGTAGCCATCCCCCGCTGTGAAATTCCCCTGCAGCACCCAAATTCGCTGACATAACCAGGAGACCAGCTCGAGATCGTCGGCTGTACCCCGTAGCAGGGTCTGCGCCGTGTGCATGTGCGTTGATACGAGACCTGGAATCACAATGTGCCCTGAAAGGTCGAGTGTTTTGTCATTCGGGTATTTGGATTGTAGGTCGGGGGTTTTGCCGAGGTCAGCGATGCGGTCATCTTGCACGCGGATGGCGCCGTCAGATATTATGCGGCGTGTGGGGTCGACTGTGATGATTGTTGCATTTGTATATAGCATTATGACGGCGTTGGATGTTGTAGGTAGGTATTTCATGTAATGTCTCTTCTATATGAGGATGAGGTGGTCGTGGACGGCGAACTCCGATGGGGGTAAAGTGGGGAGGGGATCGGTTTGGCGATAAGGCTAGTTGGTGGGGACTTGGGTAACAGCTTTGTCTCAACGGGTTGCGTGTCGATCATTTTCTGGGCAGTTTCGTTGAGGCTCTCTTGTTGATGCTGGGCTATATAGGGCTCTTGGTTTCCTCCTGGGTAATGCAGTTCTCCTATTGAGGACATATCAACGGAATGGTTTCTAGAACCGCAATATTCGAATGAACTTGTTCTTGTAATGCTTGATCAATTTTGATAAAAGCGCGTAATTCCCTGGACGTTAACACTGAGTCTGGTTAACGAGATGGTTTGAATAACTCGAGTCAAATCGTGAGATCTGCCTCACTTGCCATACAGGATCCACCATACCATCATATCCTTTCTAAACCTAAGACGAGCCCTGCTATCATGGTTCACGAAGGTCATTATATAACTGACAGTCATTCGGGAAAATACCCAAACACCAGCCGCGCCAACAAAGACAAGCCACCAGGAAGCTCTGATAGGCGGACCAATATCACCAGTTTCTCCGCAAAATGCACAAGCCATCCGGGTTATCGCACCCCGAGCTGATGCGCTAAGGAAGTATCAGAACCAAGACCAGAACATGATTGGCGCGACATCGCTGGTGGAAAACGGGCTACCCCGATCTTTTCGGGCAGAGCTTCCCCGCGTGGTCCATGTCCCATGTCATTTGAGTTAAAATCCGGGGTTGAGGAATGCTGTGTCCTGCATTGCTCGGTTCTTTTAAAGACGGCCGGGCCCCGTGTGGAGACCCAGCATTCGAAGGCCGCTGTGATTGTTTATCTCAGTTGGTCATGGTGCGCCGTGTGTCTTATCCTCGGTAGCATATTTCGCCTGTTGGGAATATACCAGGAGATCTTGATATCGTTTCAAGTTAGGTCATATATTCGCACACCATATCCGGCACCACCGCCATGCCGGAAGGGACCAAAGTTAGCCCCAGAGGCTCTGTGGAGAGAGTCTCACCAAAGAAAACGGATATCTCCCACGTCGAGCAGTCGCTACCACCAACCGAAGACTTGAAAAAAGATCAAACGGACTATTCCCGTGTCGACAGGGAAATCGCCGAGTACACCGCCCGCGGCGAGGTCGAGATAGACGATGCCACGAGTCGACGACTCCGTCGGATGATTGATAGCCGGGTCCTGGTGATTATGATCTGCACATACTTTCTCCAGGCGCTGGATAAAGGAACCATGTCGTTTGCGTCGATTATGGGAATTGTCGACGATACAAAACTGGTCGGCCAACAGGTGCGTTCAGCATCCTAGCGATCCTCTCCGTTTGGCAGCACTGACGAGATTACCATCCAGTACTCCTGGCTGACGACATGTATTTACATCGCCGTCCTAATCGTCGAATACCCGACCAACTGGATCATCCAGCGGGTACCCATCGCCAAATATCTCGGTATCAATATCGTGCTTTGGGGTGCTGTTTTGGCTCTACATTCAGTGTGCAAGAGTTTCACCGGACTTGTCGTCGTGCGCACTTTCCTTGGTATTTTCGAGGCTGTCTGCCAGCCGACATTTATCGTGTTGAGTAGTATGTGGTATACCAGAGGAGAGCAGGCTTCCACCGTTACATACTGGTATGATGCCTCAACACTCTCCTATTCTTTCCAATCAGCTGAGCCATTTGCAGGTACATGATGAACGGCGCGCAACAAATCGTGGGTGGTCTGCTGGCCTACTGCTTCAGTCTGATCGGGCACCACCGCGTGCTTAAGTCGTGGCAGGCGCTGTTTCTCACATACGGATGTGCCTCGGTTCTCTGGGGTCTCTTCGTGATCTGGTGGATGCCTGACTCGCCAATGCGTGCCAAGTGCTTCAGCGAGGAGGACAAGCATTTGATGGTTGAGCGGGTGCGCGCCAACCAGACGGGTCTGCAAAACCGGAAATTCCGTGCCTACCAGTTTTGGGAGGCCGTCCGTGACCCACAGATGTACTGTTACTGCGCCATCCAGGTCTTCACGACTCTCCCAACGAGTGGGCTGGGCGCCTTTGCCAATATCATCATCAAGGGCTTCGATTTTACCGAGCTGCAGACGCAACTGTTGGCCATGGTGCTCGGTTTCTATATCATCATTGTACTGCTCACCTCCGCGTGGTTGGTTAAGAGATACAACCAGAATTTGCTCGTCATGCTTGGCTTCATTATTCCGTGAGTATCTCCATAGAGATATAATTTCCAAATAACGTTGCTGAGACATTCCTGCAGGTCCTATGTCGGGACCATCGTGCTGATGACAGTGGAGAAAAAGGGTCTCGACACCAAGGTCGGGCTTCTGATCAGCTACTACATCACCCTCTCGTTCTGGTCCGCCCAGAACTTGTGTCTGTCCATGGTATCTCGAAACATCGGCGGAGCCACCAAGAAGTCCGTCGTCGTGGCAGCCACGTTTGTGTCGTGGGCAGTGGGAAATGCAATTGGTAAGCACATATAGAGCACACCCAACGCTATCACATATACTAATCCAGCATAGGCCCGCAAGTGTTCTTGACTCACGACGCCCCGCGGTATTTCATAGCCTTTGGCGTCCACCTTGGGTGTTATACCGCTATGACCATTGCTGTGATCTTCCTGCGCTTCTACCTCAAGATGCAGAACAAGAAGAAGGATCAAATAGCTCGCGAGGCTGGTCTGGAGGATAGTAGCCTCAGTCATGCCTTTGAGGACCGGACGGACCAGGAAAACATCCACTTCCGTTATATCTACTGAGATCATCTCGGGTACTCAGCCCTAATAGCTGTCATCACATGATATGTGACACTATGAGGTGTAAATAGGCCTTAAGATGGGGTGGATCCAGATCTAACTTTATGATCCTGATCCTGATCTACCAAATTTCGGGATTGAAGAATTCAAATCAGATACATACCATAATACTTTATAGGGTACATCAGGAATGATTTAATGTGATCATTATTTATATACACTTATCTTTTTTTTTTTTTTTTTTTCTTCATTGCGTAAAATGATAAATTAATAATTGATCTAATTAAAATATTGTTATTTATATCTATTATAAGTAGTATAGTAGAAAATCACACGTAATATAAATTACCAGACATGATAATTTGAATATTCGTCTGACTGATTCCTGATAACTAAATAGCTGAAATGTCATGTGAAATACTGTATACAGAGGGAAGGATTGAAAAGGATTGGCCAAGGAAGCACGCAGGAGGACAGGCGTGCCTTCACCGAGCTGGCAGCTCATGTGCTGCCGCAGCTCCAGAATCCAACTCTGCCCGAGCAACGTCACTATGAAGCTCTGCAATTGGCACAGGTTGCTTCATTGGTGTCGCTTCCAGCTCAGCGGAAGACGCTTGTTGTTTTCGTCGGCGTACCAGAAACCAAATGCATGTGAGTATAAGAGTGAAGCATGCAACGCTGCCCACAGTACTGCCAGCAATGACCCCTGTGCTAGCCGATGAGGACGGCGAGGCCGAGTCGTTGTCGGGATCTGACTGAGGGGTCACGGTTGCTGTAACGATCGTCGTCGAAGATGGGCTCTGGTCTACTAGGACACATAAGATATATATGAAACCCCGAAAAGATATATCCTCAAATACGCAGAGATGAACGTACCATTACTAATAGGCGTAGCGAGAGTTACATCCGTTCCGTTTGGCTTTCCATCCACGCAGCCAAACCCATTCGCCTTGTTGTCGAAATATCCGATTAAGCCTTGCTCACAGCACCAGTACTGATCTTTATCATGGTAGAGATCCCACACATCATTTGCACAGTGAGGGTGCTCTGTTACTTCTGCAGAACAGTCTGTGTCTATCGGACAGCAGATTATCTGTCCTCTGGAAGTGCTGCAGTAGGTGTTTTGACGACAGCAGCTGTAGAAATCGTCCCAACTATGACCGCATTCGACTTCTTTATCCGTGCACTCGCCGTCTCGGCGAAGAGGAAATCCGTATGGTGGGGGGTAACGGGACATCCTTTCTGCTGACTTGGGTGGTAAAGCAGAGGGGAAGATGCGTCAGTGGAGAAACGTTGGATGAATGCTAGCTACGGTCCTATAAGGACTTGGGGTTCAACCAGAGATCAGTGGCTGGGGCACGAATCTCGGAGATCAAGCCGTCCCCCAAGTTGTTGGACGTATAACATGTCATAATTGGCTACAGACCATGGATTGGTATGTACATCACGACACCGTTCCACTTGGCGTTCGTTTCGTTGTTGACGGCTTCACTTGGCCTTGATTGCCATTCTTGGTTAATTAAGACAAAGGTCTCCGCCATTTGGGCCCACTTGAACAGAGATCGAAGCTAGCAATGTGTCACGTACATAAGTGCCAAGTCAGATCACTCTTGATGATGGATGCAGGAAACAATGAGGAAGTTTGTGGTTCAGTCAGGTCATGTATCGAGTCAATGCCTTGCTTATCAGGCACCAATGTCGCCACTACTCCACCTGGATGTTTTCCAGACCTCCATTCTTCTAGTGTTGCCAACTACCAACTAGCACGATCCTCACACAGCCTCGTCGAAAATTGAGGTCAAGATCTACAAAAGTCCAAGAACACAACTAGCAAAGAGCCTCCTAGGCAACAGTGAGCACAGCCCCGCCTGTGACTCATGAAATACGTCGTATATAAAACCAATCTCTCCTACATTCGACATATATTCAAACAACCAAAAACTCCCACTACAGCTTTGCTGAGTCAATTGTAACATTGGTAAACCTTTTTCTATTTTCTTATCATCTGGGTCGGTTAGTTGACTCGCATATGGCTTACAATGGGAATCAGGTGGTGGACGCCCCTCACAAGACCTCGTCACATCACTATTCGTCAGAGTATAAGGAACCCAAGAATAAACGTCACAAACTACAAACACACAATGGCATCTGAGCTTTCCGCCGACTTCCTCACCCCAGAGGCACCCCCCAACGCCACGCTTCGCATTCTCGACTTCGAAAAGACCACGCCCCCGATCCCCGCCTACAAGGGCCACTTCGCAGCCGTCATCGACAACCTATTCACAGAGTCCGAATGCAACGAGATCATCCGCCTCGCATCAGAGTCCACCAAATCCGCCTCATGCCCGGAAGGCAAATGGGCCCGCGCGATGGTCAACGCCGGACACGGCAAAGAGACGATGGCAATCGACACCCGCAACTGCGGGCGCATCCTGTGGGACACCCCCGCGATCGCGGAGAAGCTGTTGGCGCGGATGTGGCCGTTTCTGGAGGAGGGTGGCATTACGGAGATTGCGAACCGGCCGGTGGTGACGATGTTGGGGCCTGCGCGCCGCGGGGAGGTCTTTCAGTTGAGTGGGCTTAATGAGCGGCTGAGGGTGTTGAGGTATGAGGGGGGGGATTATTTCCGACCTCATTGTGATGGGAAGTACGTGAGGGAGGATAAGAGCGAGCAGTCATTTTTTACTATTCAGATTTATTTGAGTGGGGATGGGGTGCAGGATTTGGAGGAGCTGGGGAGGAAGATTGAGAAGGCTGAGAAGTCGGATGGTCTGTTTCGGGAGAAGGATGGGATGATTAATCTTTCTGTTGTGGGTGAGGAACTGAGTGAGGATGAGGATGAGGGTGAGGGTGATGGGAGACTGCTGGGGGGGGCGACGTCTTTCACGGATGGCTTCGGTGCAGAGGATGCTGTGAGGGTTTTTCCCAAGGCTGGATCGGTTCTGGTCTTTCAGCAGAGAAATCTGTTTCATGGGGGGGATGATGTTTTTCGGGGGGTGAAGTACACATTACGGTCGGATGTGATGTATAAACTGGTTAACAAGTAGAATACCCATGTAGACAAGCTATATTCAATGACGCCCTTTACCTTGATAGTCATATCGGTATTGAATTGCTGCATTCAACACCATTTTTCCATCACCCCAATGTCCCCGATACACTCTGTGTTCTGCCATGCTCCACCGACACACGTCATCCAAGCCAATGCCTGCTTGTTGGAGATGCATCATGCATTGAGTCCGTACTCCTCAATCAGAGTCTCAGCGCATGTCGCACCAGTTACATAGGCAGTAGCCTGAACGTGGCTGTTGACCAACACAGGCACAACACTCATATCCGCGATCCGCAAGTTCTCGAGGCCAATGACCTGGAATTTGTTATTCACCACCGCGTCGGCACTCCCCTCGGGTCCCATCTTGCACGTCCCGGTCATATGCCAGCTGGAAGAAGTCGTATTTTTCCACAGCTCCAATATGTCCTCGTCAGACTCAGAAGCGGGCGCTATCAAGGTGGAGACGGTGTGCTTCTTGAACGCCTCATGTTTGGTTAATTGGAAAGCGTCCCGGTAGGTTTCGATGCACGCGCGGCGATCAAAGGGATGAGCCAAGAACTTGGGGTCGAAGAGCAGAGGAACTTCAGGGTCCGAGGACTGCAGCCGGACCTCGCCTCTGGATTGCTGGTTCATCAGAAACACGAGCATGCAGATGTAGCTGTAATTTCCTTGGATGAGCTCTGGAGAGAACATATGGATAGGGAAGTGCGTCAGAAACTCGTAATGAGGGACGGTCGGCTTCTGAAGGTATTCTTGGACCGACGGGTCAAGATCCTGGAATTCACGAGATGCTGTGAGGTTATCCGACTTGAAATACCCGACGCCAAGCTGGCAGGCATACCGCGCCCAGGGTCCGCTCCCGTCCTTCTTCCACTGTTCCATGGCTGCCTCCTTGGCTGCTTCGTCTCCGAAGAAGGCGTTGCGGTCGTTCGTGTCGGGGTCACGGCGGAAGCACATGGGGGCGAAATAGTGGTCCCTCAGACCTTGGCCCACTGCAGACATCTCGTGCGTGACGGGGATGTTAAACTGCTGCAACTGATCCGCGGGCCCGATGCCCGAATGCATGAGGATTTTCGGGGAGTCGAGGGATCCCGCCGTCAAAATGACCTCTTTCGATGCGAGGTCTGTAAAGTTGAACCATCAGCTTGTGGTTCTGGTGTATTCACCATGATTTGAACTTACATTGGTTTCCTCTGGACTCAACCCCAATGACCTTCTTCCCGTCGAGGACCAGCCGCTGTACGGGCGCCTCGGTGATCACAGTCAAATTGTCAGGAGCGCCCTTCAGCAGATCGGCGGCAGTCGTCCGCTTTCCCTTAGAAGACGAGTTGATCACAAGAGACATTCCGATTGGATCACCCGAGTTATGGTCGGGGTTGCGAGCGAAGCCTGCTTGCTCGAAGATATCCATCATGAGGGGTAGATCCTGCTCCCACTCGGCGCTATAGCCAACACGAAGCCCGCCGTCCAATCCGTGGTCGGCCTCTTTGGGAGCGGCGTACTTGGTATGATTCCCGGCGATAGCTCCATCGAACGTTTCCAGACTCTTCAGTCGAGATTGTATGCGATCCCACCGGAACGTGTCATCCCCGACCGCGGCGGCCCACTCGTCGTAATCATCCCGGGCGCCGTACGTATAGACACCGAAATTGATAGAACTACTTCCCCCAAGGGCCTTTCCTCTCGCGTAATCAATCTGGCGACCGTTGCAATGCTCCTGGGGGGTGGTTTTGTAGCCCCAATTCATGCCGGGAGTCGTGAAGGTTGTCCATCGCTGGCCTTCCACTCGGAGAGACGGATCATCGTTCCGACAGCCTGCCTCTAGCAAGAGGACATTGGGACGTTTGTCGGAACGAGCCAGGCGCGAGGCCAAAGCACATCCTGCCGGGCCTCCTATATATCGAATGGTTAGAGACGAGTTTCGGAATGAGGGGTTCTTGTCCAGAGATAAGTGGGGCATGGGACTCACCCCCGACGACGAGAAATTCATATACAGTCCCTGTGGATCCCATGATATCGCTTGCGAGCTGTGATTTTGATTGGTGGTTCGTTACAGTCGGTAGATTTGAGAAGACAGAAGGATCATGAAACGAAAAGATCTAGGGGGGTCATAGTTCTCGAAATAATTTATCCCCATCGGACAATCAAACTACCGCAATGGGTTACCGCTAGCAACAGTCCCATTTAGACTTTGTGCAGGGTTGGGAATATGCGGTGTATATCAATCGAACCTAGGGGTACATCGGCAACGATGATTGATGGAGGAATGGGTGGATAGACGGATGGATACTACTAGTGATTCCTGGGCAGCTGTTTCGGGTCTAGCCTAACTGAAGACATGAGTTAATTAGCCTGGAGACGGAGTATACTTGAGAACCTTAGCATATATACTCATAAACCGTACTCTATACTTCTCAGGTTCGTTCGGTTTTTTCCTTTCCATGCAGAATCAACACATCCATTGCTGTGAACAGCTTCAAGGTCCACCTATGGTACAATGCCACTTTTGACGTGGGTCAGACCGCTGGTGGATCAGCCCTGTCCATTCTCCCTCGAACAGCACGACTTGATTGGCTATGGTGGAAGGTATTGCCGTGAAACCTTCCTGTCGGAAAGACCAGGAAAAGCTCCATGTAGATATTACCAGTAGTTCCAGTGGGGGACGGGGATTCCCTTTGTAGTGCTGTGGAGAAACGTCTTGTCGGTTGATCTCCTGGGGAATAGACGCCTAGAAATCAATCGACTAGGTATAAGAAACCTCCAAGAGCATCCACGCACAAATGAGGGCACATTTCAGACCACAGCCATGGATCGCAACCCCAGAGTATCACATCGGTCGAATCTCGGAGCTCCCGGGTGAAAGATTCTATATGGGAAATCAAGGCATAATGAATCTGGCGGTCTTCGCGAAGAGCACCTCATACAATCCAATCAGAACCATAGGAGCGGATATTTTGTGGCTCGTCTGGGGATGATCCGTGGGTACATCGCATCGGCAAGACCCCGACGATAATTACGTCAGATACTCTCTGCAGCGATAAATCCTGTCACCATGGCTGATGTGCAATCAAGCTTAGCGGGTCGAGATCTTCCTGGCTTTAATTCCCCGAGGTGCATAGAATCGCGTGGAGTGAGTTATAATCTCCGACGCATCTCCATTTCGATAGGTCTTGTGTCAAGACTAGTGCAACATGAATCTCGGAGTCAAACTATGCGACCACCATTCGTGTCATATCCATTGTCATTAGAGATCAGATTGATCAGGTGATGTGTATTTCCAAGCCCACAGATCTCGAGATTTCTTGAATCCCAGCAGTCAGCATAATTGTCATCGTGGTCGTCCCTCCGTCGGACGAGTGAGGCGACCCAAGCAGATCTCGGCAGTAACCGGATTGACGGAAGTTGAGGTTGAGAAGTGGCGTCTCTATCAAAGTTTGCTCGTTCGCGTACCGGTTGATCCCAGGAACTTTCAGCCTGGGGTTCCCAATCACATCCCCATCCCGGGTCACGTTTTCTCCGCTTCTTCTCTTACTTTATCCAACTATTTCTGCTTCTCATCCCCCTCTGATCGAGGTTTCACCACCATCTCTTCGTATTCTCTCCCTCAAAAAGATCTGAAAAGGTCATCCGTTCTCTATCAATCGTTTTAACAACTACACTCTTTTTGTTACTCTTCACTACAAACCGTCCCATCGTTTACCCTATTTGTGTTCCGTTGGTCCCTCCTTTTCTCTTCTCTATATCGGCGGTCTCCCGTTTTTTTTACTCCACTACGGCAATAGTACTTGCACCGCGACACCCGGTTCTTTCCGCCCCATCCAACTCGTGCAAGATATACAGCCTCGGGGATTGTCGCCGAAGCATCGATTGTCATAGGCTTGTTGGAAATGAGGCTGCGATTGGTCGCTCTCGTCGCTGAGAACCATCGAATCCCACCCCTATAACAAACAGAATATCACCGACTAGTGTTCGACTCGGGAGTGATGGTCGTGTTTGCGCACGTCATAGATATCGCTTTTGGGATGTGATAAGATTCGCAAACCTTTTATACCGATTTAAAAGTCATTTGGAGAAATCTCTTTTTCAATGCATAGTTCGCTCTCCGAACCCCCCGAGGGCCTCATCGGGGGGTACAAGGGTGCTACCGAAGCCGTCGAAATCCTCGTGGTTTGCTTCAGTGCGATTGCGCTCTACAATGCCATCGAGCTGGTTGCTGTCATCCTTCTGACTTTCAATCGCTACTCCGGTTTGTACTTTTGGACCATGTTGCTCTCCGACGTGTTCGGAGTCATTCCCCATGCCGTCGGCTACGTCTTGGAATTCTTCGGCAAAGGTCCCATCTGGGTGGGAGTGACCCTGTCCACCCTCGGGTTTTATCTAATGGTGCCCGGTCAGTCCTTCGTCTTGTATTCTCGGCTCCATCTCCTGGTCCAGAATCGAACGCTCCTGCGCGGCATCCTCTACCTCATCATCTTCGACAGCATCGTGCTCCTCGTCCCCACCACCGTGCTCACCTACTCCACTATCTACCTCCGCACCGAACCCGTCGTCCGAGGATATAACGTGATGGAACGGTTGCAAGTGGCCTGCTTCTGTGCGCAGGAAATGTTCATTTCCGCCTTGTACATCATCGAAACCGCCAAGTTGCTGCGGCTGCGGCCGGCAAGGGACCCCTATCGCTACCGCATCATGTACGAGCTGATCACGATCAACGTGGTGATCATCCTCATGGATGTCGCCCTCCTCGTCATGCAATACGTCGGCTTGTACATCTTACAAACTACCCTCAAGGCCGCCGTATACAGCGTTAAACTCAAGCTCGAATGTGCGGTTCTTCGGAAGCTAGTGCTCCTGGTGAACCAGCGGCCATCCGAATCCAGCTCGAGTGATAGGGAAAATTACCCCAACTTTGTGAATCCGCTCCGGATCACGGGCGACGTCACCCGAGCCCCCAAGACCTCGAAACATCGCTCCCAATCGCCGTGGGGGGCCATGTCCGAGGTGAACCTGAACTAAAATCAACTGAAGTCGGTTACCACCGCAGACCTTGTGACACTTCCCTGGTCTTCGTGGTATCCGACAGTGTATACCAAATCACGCATTCGCGAAAAGAAAGAAACAAAAAAGAAACACGAATGCTCATCAATTGGAGTGATGTGATCGAACAGATTAGTTTATGCTGACTAGCTCTGTGTCTGATGGACAACATCTCCTCGGAACTGGACCTCCACCAGGACGTCCGACTTCCCCCCGACAAAGGTCACCGGGCGCATCCAACATGCCCGCGGGTGACTAGATCAGGCGTTTTCGGCCATTGGCGGTCGGGCCCCGGTGTCTCCATACAATCTTGTATCGCCCGAGATTTGCCTCTGGTTACACGCACCGGCCGTGCGCGGTCCATGCCACGCCAACACGACTGATATTTGGCTGTGAGACATTGACCGTTCGAGACTTGGATGTCTACATATCTACACGGCATAGTACACCACTGACAGGCATGTCGGTAGCTGACCATCCTCTTCTTGTATATTGTTGTGTCCAATTGCCATTGTATATACCATTTGAACTTGCAATGATCTTGCGGGATAAGACTTCACTTTGCATCTTGTATCATTGAGAATTATACCCGATGGTGAAATGGCTTCGCTGCGCTCTCGTGTCCGCCGCAATTCTATAACGAGTAGAAGCATTTTTCAAAACAAATAGGTTGTTCCAACTGCTCAACTAAGCCAGACTCCAGCATGCGTAGGTCAACTCGCTTGTGCAGAATCTTAATCCCCCACAATCACCGATACTCGGCCGCAATTAACACCCTTGCATTGTCCCAGCGGTCAACTCATCCTTCATGTTGAAACCCAGCCACACAAATGGCTTGTCTCATTCATGCATGATTGGAAAAGGTGCATGTGGATTGGTTGGAAGTCGTGAACCATCGCCACGCCTGGCAGATGTCCCCCAACTCGGAGAGGATAATCTGGTCGCGAAGCCCCACCACATTCTTGGCCTCAACGTTCAACATCATCTACAAAACTGCGCATAACTGTGATTCCACGGCGCGACTGATATCATACTGGGGATTGAGGTTCCACTTCAGCGAAATGATTGGTGGGTGGAGCTACCGGAACTGGAGTTGGAAAGTGGAAACCTTGGAAGCGCAACCGTCATTGGAGAAAAGGCCGAAGTCTCGCCCGGATTCTCCAGTCTCGACTAAACCTCATCCAGACGTCGCTTCTTGCCTCCCATCACATTTGTCTGGAGAATTTCTCCGGCTCGTGCCGATAATTCCTGTCGTCTGACTTTCTTGTCTGTATTGATACCACTGACAACTGTTCTGCTACAGCAGTCCTACTGTCCCATCTATCTACTTTTCTGTCTAACTCCATCGGTCATCTGCTAAGCTTTGATCGGCATTGGCCGCTTCCACGCGGTATTCGGCCGTGGGGGAGAAGAATCACAGATCTAAGAAAGTGCGTGTCGTTTACACTCTCACGACAACTGCATACTGACAATCAGGCGGGCCTAGTCATCTATATCGCCTACTAGTAAGGCTGTCGCGTTCCTCAGTCCACCAAGAACCCCGTACCCAACCATGCAGTCCAAGCCGGATAACGCCCCCCCGATGGGGCATCCGCCCAGTAATGCAGATCTCCCGAGTCGTACATCGGGGGACGGACGAGTTGATCATCACCCACCGTTGAAAGTCGAGCCCCCAGACAGGGTCTACCCAGTCCGATCGATGGTCTCCGTCGAGCCCTCCCCCTCCAACCAGCACCCCCCGCCGGGTGGATACACCGAAGCCAGTTCCCCGGGGAAAGGCGCCCAAACATACCCAATCATCGACTCGAGAACGTGGGACGAAATGCGATCGCGATCCCAATCCAGGAAGTCGTCCCGGGGAAGCGTATCGAGCAATGCCGCCGTTCGGACGGCCGTTTCGCCCCTTTCGCCCCTTTCAGCGACGGAATCGGCCAGCCCGATTGTGGAGAAGGGCGATCCGTTGCAGGCAAATGATGGAGAGGTCCTCCCCAGTGATCTCATCACGTCGCGGTTCAAACACGTGTTGACCGAAGGGGGCCATGCTGTTCTGACAGGGCGCGCAAACGAGTCGTTTCAGGAGTGCGAAGACGAGCCGATCCGCACCCCGGGAGCTGTGCAGAGCTTTGGTGTGTTGGTTGCACTAAAGGAGGAGCCCGATGATGTATTGTCGGTTCGTGTGGTGAGCGAGAACTCGGAGGGGATTCTTGGTCACTCGCCCAACAGCCTGTTCGCCATGAGGTCCTTCTGTGACATCTTGTCCGACGAGCAAGCGGACACCCTTTTAGACCACGTGGCGTACGTCCGCGAGGAAGGCTTTGATGCCGAGACCGATGGCCCGGACGTTTTCATCCTAACCATTAACAAACCCACGGGCCCGTCAGTCCGGCTCTGGTGCGCGGTTCACGTCAATCACGTCAACCCGGATATCGTCATTTGTGAGTTTGAGCTCGAGGACGACCGTCTCAATCCGCCTAGTCACTCCACGTCAAGCTCTCCGGGCCCGCCAGTCGATACATCGCGTGCCGATCCGACACCCGAACAGCTAGCAGAGAGCACCGTTGACATCAGCCAACCGTTGCGGATTTTGCGCAACTCGCGGCGACGGCGGGGAGAGACCGCCTCCATGGAAGTGTTCAATATAATCTCCCAAATCCAAGACCAGCTGGCTCGTGCGCAAACTATCGATAGCATGCTCAATATTACCGTGGGGATCGTGAGAGCGTTGACCGGATTCCATCGCATTCTAGTCTACCAGTTCGATAACGATTGGAATGGATATGTGGTGTCGGAGTTGCTTGATCCTAAACATTCGAGGGACTTTTACAAGGGGCTACATTTTCCGGCATCGGACATCCCCAAGCAAGCTCGTGATCTCTACCGCATCAACAGAGTGCGGTTGCTGTACGATCGGGACCAGCAGACGGCGCGTCTCGTCTGTCGCACGCTTGAAGACCTGGAACGCCCACTCGACATGACCTACACGTATCTACGTGCCATGTCTCCAATCCACCTCAAGTACCTGGCCCACATGGGGGTACGCGCATCCATGTCGATCAGCATCAACTCCCCGTCATCCCTCTGGGGGCTGATCTCATGTCATAGCTACGGCACCGCCATGCGCGTCACCTTCCCCATCCGGAAGATATGTCGACTGATCGGGGACACGGTCTCTCACAACATCGATCGTCTCTCGTACACGTCCAAGCTGCAGGCGCGCAATCTCATCAACACCATGCCCATGAGCGCAGACACGTCTGGCTATATAGTCGCGTCGCCGGACGACCTACTGAAGTTGTTCGATGCCGATTATGGGGCTTTGTGTATCCATGGCGAGACAAAGCTCCTGGGCGGAAATGTGAACACCAAGCTGACCCATTCGCAAGAGATACTTGCGCTGCTGGAATATCTAAAAATGCGCCGTTTTAACTCGGTGCTCGCATCCCACAACATCAAACGGGACTTTGCCGATCTACGCTATCTCCCGGGTTTCAAGGTCGTGTCGGGGATGCTGTACGTGCCGTTATCCACTGACGGTGGAGACTTCATGGCGTTCTTCCGTCGCGGCCAACTGACGGAGATCAAATGGGGAGGGAATCCGTACGAGAAACAAATTGGCCATGGTCACCTGGAGCCGCGGGCGAGCTTCAAGGTATGGACCGAGATGGTGCTCGATCAGTCTCGTGAGTGGACAAGCTCAGAAATCGAGACGGCGGCGCTGTTGTGCTTGGTGTACGGGAAGTTCATCCGGGTACGGAAACAGAAGCAGACGGCCATGCAGGGATCGCACTTGACCAAGATCCTCCTAGCCAACTCGGCGCATGAATTCCGCACGCCGTTAAATGCCGTCATGAATTACCTCGAGATCGCTCTCGAAGGCGCCTTGGACACTGAAACCCGCGAGAACCTGAGCAAATCGTATTCCGCCTCGAAGTCGTTGATCTACGTCATCAATGATCTCTTGGATTTGACCAACACTGAGAAGGGGAACGAACTCAATACGGACGAGCCATTCGATATCGCGGCCGTTTTCCACGAAGCGACGAGCATGTTCGAAACGGAAACCAAACGGAAGGGCCTTCAATACACGGTGGTGGCGCATCCGAGTCTTCCGAAGACGGTGACGGGCGACGAGCGGCGTGTGCGGCAGACTATCTCGAACTTGATCTCCAACGCCGTCCAGAACACTTCGACCGGAGGGGTCACCGTTGAAATATGGCGCTGTCCCGACTTACAAGAACCAGGCAAGACGACCATCTTCATCTCAGTCCTTGACACCGGCACGGGAATGTCCCAGGACATCCTGGAAACACTGTTCCAAGAACTCGAGCAGGTATCTCCGGCTCGTGAGGAAATCATCGAAGGCGATGACGACCAGGAATCCCTCCGCGCACTCATGGACCCCCAAGACCAGCGAGTCTTAGGCTTAGGCCTGGCGCTTGTCTCGCGGGTCGTTCACAACAGCCGCGGACAGCTCAGAGTCCGGTCCGAGGAAGGGAAAGGCAGCCGATTCCAGATCTCGCTCGAGTTCACGGTCGCAGAGGAAAATACGGACCCCGTCACAGTCAGCCAAGCAGCTCCTTCAGCCGAAAGTATTGATTCGCCGTCGCCGCTTCATGGCAGCGACGAGTTTCTGCTGGTGGACGGCGAGCAGAGTCGTCGACCCAGTGCCACTGATGATCTCTCACCTCGCAAAACCTCGCCGCCGTCGACTGAGGAGCCAGCCCCGACACCAGAACAGGCCTTGACATCCCATCCGGAGCCTCCCAAACCGCCAGAGCCAAGCGCCCCAACCACCCTCCGCGTTTTGGTCGCGGAAGACGACCCTATCAATGGAAAAATTCTGGAGAAGCGTCTCAACAAGTCGGGCCACACCGTGCGCCTCACTGTCAACGGAGAAGAGTGCGCAGCAGTCTATCGGGAGGATCCCACACAATACGATGCCATCTTGATGGATATCCAGGTATGCCAAGCCCCCCCTAATCAACCCTTTTGTCACCTACACTATAGTATATGACACTAACTCATAATCAGATGCCAATCGTCGACGGCATAACCTGCACCAAAATAATCCGAGACTTCAAACCCGATTCGTCCAAAGTCCCCCTCTCCGACGCAGCACAGCACAACGGCCGCGTGCCCATCTTCGCAGTCTCGGCATCACTCTCGGAAAAGGACGCGCCCATGTACATGGAAACCGGATTTGACGGGTGGATCATGAAACCTATCAACTTCACACGGTTAAACGTATTACTCGATGCACTCCAACATCCCGACGTGAGACGCGAAGTCGTCTACAGCCCCGGACACTCCTGGGAAGAGGGGGGCTGGTTCACGGCGCCGACGTAGGCGTTTTCTTCATCGGATTGCGCTCATACATACTACTCTGAAGAGAGCAGATACTTCTTGATTCTCTCCTCTCTCACACACACGAGAAGAGAGGACACTACCCTACCAACCAACAAAAGGGAAGAGAGAAAGAAAGCCCCAAAACTGAACCCGTCAGTTGGACACGCCATACACGCGCCGCGGCCTGATCCTCGACATCTACCCGCCGTTCTGAAATCTGTTAGATTCTATATACACGCTCATCTACGATATAACGAAGTGATGATATGTTTGAC